GTGCCTTTTGTAAATATCAAGTAGCAATTTGAATCTTTACTACCTTTGTGACATCTTTGAAACGTGTTACATTTTGCTTTATTTGTATCCGTCCAGTGGGTTAACATGCCAGTACTAACTAGCTTTGTATCAGTATTTTCACTTTCCTTGCAAAACGTTCAGTGCTGGTGTTTGTAAAGACTTAAGCCACAAAAGGAGACTTTTTCAAAGTGTCTCAAGGTGGCCAGAACATACAAGTTGAACTTGAAAGTATTCAAAACTTATTCAAAGCTCATCTTAGCTAGCTAGGGCAATCTTGCGACAGAAAATATCCTGGCAAACTGAGTCCACATCTTTACTTCGTATTTGACACTCACTCTCAGCCAATCAGATTCTCTGAATTTTTCCCACACACTGAATATTCAGGTCTGGATCAACTAACTTTGTTACCCAATAGGAGAGCGTTTTACAGGACGGCACAGCGCGCTGCCATTTTATTTGGTAGGTCAGTTCTGGGTCGGCTTTGTAAAGAGCAATCTGATTGGTCAGAAATTATCAGTCCATATTTGGAAGTGTTGGAAATAATGTTGCATCCTGACGCCACTTTTTTTCATCATATAGTTTCTCAATGAAGGTCAGACATTGCAAAGAGGTTTAAAAGACATGAATCTGGGACTGAGAAACATTTACAAGTTTGTAATGGATAATACTTGGAAAATGCACTTGATTCTCCATAGAGTTTGTACACATAAGAAGTGGCATCTAGATACTACATGTACATTGTTTCCAAGATATAGACTTGTTTTGCCAGGGTACCATCTTATGACGTTCATGCATGCGAGTAAGATGACCCTGGCTAGGGAGGATGTCAAATCAGAAAGGTCCATTAATATCCATGCATTGGCAACAATTTATAAACAACAGTATTTATTCCAGCTTTGAGGAGCTATTCATAAATACCTCAGACAGTTTAGCCATTCCTATTAGTCGAGAGCCCGTCACGTGGCCGGTCTTAAACGGATGATAAAGACATGGCTAGCTGGTCTTAAACACTTTTCCAGTGTCGCAATAAAATGTAGACCCCTAAAAATCCAGTGCCTCTTACCGTTTCATTGGTTGAACGTTCACAATCCTCACGTAGGCATGCGCAACACTACCAGCGAGGCAGAATTTTATAGTTCTAAATTCAAAACGCAACGCGCCAGGTGCGTTCTGCTCGACATCGCTCACAACATGCTACGCGCGCGTCAATCTCCATAAAAGGGCTGTTTACATCTTACTCGCCAGCTGAACACTCCATTATTTTGCTAGAGGGATGTTTCAAAAAGCATAAAGTGAATTTGTTGAACAAAATCGGGATGTTTTGAACGAATTATATGATTTTTTCTTACCGAAAAGGTATTTATGAATGGGAATAAATATGTGCTCCGTCGGTATTTATCACTCTGTTTAAGACCACTTAGAGTCTGGGTGCTGATAATTACCCTCGCCTCCGGCTCGGGTAATTATCAGCACCCAGACTCTAAGTGGTCTTAAACAGAGTGATAAAAACCTCCAGAGCACACATTTATTCCCTTATTAAAAACTAGCATTAAAAGCTTCTTTTTCTTAATTGCTTGTTTTTTTTATGTTGATGAAATGTGTTTTATTCCTTGTGTCCTTCATTGTATATATGCATGCTGTTTTCTATAGTAAATATGTACTTTTTTCATTTTGAGATTTCATTTAATTACAACTATGACTTGATCAACTGTGAACATTCCAAAAAAAATTGAGAGTATATGTAGTTTATTTTATGGTGACTTGTACATGTATACATGCTGTATTGTACATGTATTGTAGCATAGCGTGCATCCGTCCTTGCTATAATTATGTGTTAGTGTGCCTTTCTAAATTATTCTTATGTACTGTACATACTGTAAATTATTCTTATGTACTGTACTGTACATGTACATTTACTTTTCATCACGGTATAGAGGTATGATTTCTAGGCTACCACTATCTGTCTATAGATCAGGCATGCAACTTTTCCTCGGATCAGCTGATTTCCTCTTTTTTTACATCCCATGTGTGCCATTGAAAATAGAAAAACACTGTACAAAGTCTGGGGAAAATTTGAATTTCCTCTTTTTTTGTGATTTCCCAATTGCATACCTGATAGATGGGAATCTATTTCTCTATCATGGGTGTATCTTTTCATTGCCTGGGATTCACATGTTTTGTTTAATACTCGGACAATAGCAGCATGTTCACACACTGTATAGCTGACGTGAGGCAATTATTGTGAATACTGCAATTGGCAGCCGTACCATGTTTCTTTCAGTAGTTGTAACCCTGCAGTACTTTGAAATTGATAAGTAATTACAGTCAAAACAAGTCGGGGAACCATTCAGATTTACCACTGATCCAACAGTCAGTAGATCATTTTGTTTGGCCTGGCACCTTGCAGATTTCTGGTACTGATTCAGTCATTTGAGGTTGGATTCCAGTCATAGTCTGGCACGACGTTTTGATACTTCGAGATCGTTCACTTATCAATTTCGATTATTTTGTGGTCATTCACAGTAATCAAATGTTTATTTGAATGCAATATAGATAAATACAACTATGCACTCTTTAACTGTGAGTACTTGTATACGGATGTGTAACGACAATAAATGAACAAACGTTTGGAAACTTTAAACTTTCCACCAGAAAGACCTTTGTTTATTGTAAATTTGTCTTAATTTTTATTGACCGATTCCCAAACACTACAGTGCATGTATGAACCCAAGAGCGTCTCACAATCTTTTTTAACCATTAATTGGCACATGTACCACATTGTATTAGATTGTATTAGATTGTACTCCATTGTACTACATTGTATTACATTGTACTACATTGTACTACATTGTATTACATTGTACTACAATGTATTACATTGTACTACATTGTACTACCGGTACAATGTATTACATTGTACTACAATGTATTACATTGTACTACATTGTACTACATTGTATTAAATTTTATTACATTGTACTACAATGTATTACATTGTACTACATTGTACTACAATGTATTACATTGTACTACATTGTACTACAATGTATTACATTGTACTACATTGTATTACATTGTACTACATTGTGTTTATTCACTGACAATCCATGAAACCATAGAGTGCTCATAAAACAGAGTGCTCAGGAGTAATAGGGCAGTTTGGGGCAGAACAGTCTACAATGACTAATGTTTTTGGGGTTTTTTTTTGCAAAATGGCTGAAGGTTGGACATAATGGTTTATAGGACTTCAAGCTACCCATGAGGCCAAAAATCCTTGTGTCTGTTTTCGATGTGCGTAGTGCGCTGTGTGTTTACCAGCTGCATATCCATGATGCGCATTCTGACGGACGTTGCACACTTTGACGTAATTTAAAAGCTCAAAACAGACAGCATGCAGTAGTTTTGCAAGTAGATAAATCAAGTCTCGATTAAATTAGCTTTGTCAAAGTAAACATTTTATGAAGTAAACGTTGACAAGATTTAACTTCGTAATAAAATTAAAATCAAGGCAGATCCTAGTTTCTTTCAATAAGATTCAGATACAAACTGCTTCCTTTTAGGCCACCCCTAATATGTATTTTTTTACCCCACTACTCCATCGTTTCTTTAAGTTGCAGGCAACAAATCCGATGCGTCATCCATTTCAATCACTACCTCAAGCGTACACAATTTCAACGGATAGCACAATGCGCAATATGAATACACGGATGCATGCGCGTTGCTTATCCAACAACCGATTTTTACGCATCACGCAGAGCACACTAAGCTTAACGCATGACAGACACATGGATTTTCGGCCTAATAAGCAATAATAGGGCATTAAGGCCAAAAAAAAAAATACTCGGTCTCTGGTCAGCACGCGCGTCGATTTTAATCATGCGCGTCAACCTTTTTTTTTTTTTTCAAAGCTTAAAAAAAAAAAAACACCGAAAAAAAACCAACAAAAAACCACGCGTCGCCGCATCAATTCCGGAACTTCAGTCTGACCAGTGACTGACTATTTTTTTTGGGGGGGGCCTAATATGTCCTAAACAAAATTCATGAAACAGACATTTGACAAATTTGTACCAACATTCCCCACACTGTACACGTGGTAACTTTCACTTGCATGTTTTGGGGAGAAACCCAAATTTATTTCTGGTGTTGGGTTGTTTCGGATGTAGTCAAATGGTAGTCCAGAACCAACTGTCCCAAATGACTCCATCAACACAGGGTCAACTTATTTTAAATATCTACAAGTACACACCTAAACCACTCTGTGCACGCTAACACTGTACATTCAGGATGCTCTCTTCAATGGGGTTAGCCCTGTACAAAGCCACAGCTGCATGATTGATTATCTGGACAATTGCTGGCACAATACTTTCGAAACTGAAGATGAGCTCCATGTGAGGCGCATAGCCAGTCGGGTAGAAGGGGGGGGGGCTCATTTTTACCATAAAGTGGACCTTTATACCTTACAGTCGACCTTTATATTGTTGATGTACCCTAACATGGCACGGCCCCCAACGTGGCGCACTTTGATTTTTCACCTGTAGCGCCTAGCTAGAGCAAAAGTTTTAACTGAAATTTCACAGGGAGGGAAATTTCATCAATTTCTAAACACTCCCGTTCATAAATCGCGAGTTTATCCGCCCGTTACAAAGTTAGAAGAAAACATTATTTTGGCGTGATTTTCCGATTTTATTTTGAAGTGCAAAGTGAACCCTTTGGAAATGCCCCCCAAAATAAGAAAAAAAAATTCTTGACAAACATCTGGTTGGGTATGTAAGTAGAGATAGTAATGGTTTATCAGAATTTATCAACTTTACAGAAATTCTCACATGTTAATTTAAAATTTTCCGAGATTTATTTCAGTGCGCCACGTTAAGGAAAACTCGGCCATTTTTTGCCCAATTTCCGGACACCACCGTTTTTCGGATAAAATTTCATGACACCGAAATTGTTCACAGAGGTTAAATAGCAAGCATTAATAATGCCAAAGTACCAGTATTTCACTGCATGAATTTGAGGTTTGTCACCAAAGAGGTTTGGCGACACTACACGAGGAAAGTCAGGTAAACGTCGAAGTGCGCCATGTTGGGGAACACCACTATAGTACTCTCACTGCAATGCCTTCCTGATCTTCAGACAGATCGCCGCAACAAATACATCGCAGACCAGAAGAGCGATAACGTAACGTACGACGTGACGACTAATACATTTCCTGTTGAACTATCCCTGCATAACCAAAGAATTTTTTTTTTCAAAGACAGCGTACACATGCACATTTTGAGTAAAACTGAAATATCAATTGCGAGGAAAAATGTGGACGGGCGGCTGAATCAGTCTTGCTAGCTCAGGTCACATGACACCAGTAGAGTATGGAGAGCCTTCGCATATGCTGCAACAACAAAACAGACATCTTTTGTTCACAATGTCATTTTGCACACTCCATTTGGCAAAAAAGGGAAGTTAACTGTTCAGAAATGTGTGACCCAATTTTACAAAGTGAGTTGTGAGAGTACGGTGAGCATATATGCCAAGTTCTCATGAATTGGGGTGAACAAAACTTGTTTATAATTTGACAGTTAAAGGGTGTGTGCAATGTAATTATTTTATTTGCAAGTGCACCATTTAGCCTTAGGCCAAAAAAAAAAAATAAGTCGGTCTCTGGTCAGCGCGTGCGTCGATTTTAATCATGCGCGTCGATCTTTTTTTTTCCCAAAATGTTCCGTGGTAGCTCCAACAGCGCCCTCTATTTCCGCACCTCCTCAATTTTTTTTACCAAAGAGCACCAAGGAATGGGAAATTGCACCAAGGCAAATGATCGAAAGCACCAAGGCAAATTATGGAGGACACCAATGTACATGAGGACACTAAAAAAGCAAAATAGTACCCCACCTTGTCTGTACAATCCAAGCTTGAAGACAAAAAAAAAAAAAGAAAAAAAAAAAAAGTCGCGTGGCCGCGTCAATTCCTTAACTTTGGTCTGACCAGAGACCAAATATATATTTTTTTGGCCTTATATTCGGGCAGAAATCTCAATGTTACAGCTATTTTAGCGCAAAAAGTTGCCAGAATTTTGAACATTTTACTTTCCTAAATCTTCTTTTCTTTGGTTATATGTTGTGTCAGTTCATGACAGTAAGCCAGTACACGTTTTCAATCAGCAATTTTTGGATTCACAATTTGAACATAAAACCCCTAGACTCAGAACAGTGTCTTCCTGAAATGACATCACAGCAACAGCGCCCTCTCTTGTCCGGAAAATCATCATTGGACAATTTTTAAATTTTTCAAGAAGTGCACTTGTCTATAACATTGACCAAAAAGGGATGTCAAATAGTACTCATACATTTTAAGAGGAGTAAAAAGTTGCACAAAATATGTTCCTCAGAAAAATTTACTTCATGGACCCTTTAAATGACTAGTTGGAAAAATTTAACAAATTTAACGACTAGAACACAATTCTGTAAAATGCCACAGCTAGAGCCAGAGTCACTACCAAGCATTCAGAAATATCGGACTGACCTTTTGGATTCTTATAGAACAGACAATTGTTGGCGCAGGTTTCAGGGTTGGCGTCCCAGACACTCGGCCCGCAGGCACACAATGGCGGCACCTCCAGGCCCATCTGTTCTATCTTCTCCCGCATCATCGCCTTCAGGGCACGGATGTATCTACATGGGATGCAATAAAAGGAGATGTAAAAGGGTTCGAGATAATTTTCGCGATAATAATGCTTGGTTTACAAAACTTGGTATGGACTTTATGTATGAACTCTTTTAATGGTTGAGTACATCATTTGTCATTTGTGCATTTTTTTCGTTTGAAGCAACAAAAGTGCTCAAAATCTAAAGATGGGTGCTCAACAACTAACCTGATGAAGTTTCAGCTCAGTGAATGCTGTGTATTCCGAGAAAAACAGCATTCTAGGATCTCGATTTCAATTCAAAAGTTGCCGGGTCATGTTTTGAATTGCGCCCGAAATCAGCGTCCGGGACACGTTCTCATTTAGTTGACTGCAGCTACGCGATGTCACTAAACTGACGAATAATAGCAACCGCCTGTGTGTGCATCGTGTCATTTTTTTGTGCAAGCTGTAGATTAACCCTCGGTGTGGCCACGTGGTGATAAAATTCTCCACATTTTCCAAATATGGTCATAACTTTTTTTTCAATGGGCCAATAAGGCCAAGATTCAATGTAATCCTCACCCCTACTATACACCACAAGCCTGTAGACTCCCCTTGGCCAGACCCTAACCACTGCAGAGTAAGGAGTGTTGAAAGACAGCAGCCCCAAGAGGCGCCTAATGCCTTTGTGCAGTAGTTGGAGATCTTAGTGGCCAACCCCTTTGTGCCGCCGATCTCTCTGTGTCAACCCCTTGTGCCGCCCAGATCTCAAGAGGTCGTAAACAATCCTGGCCCACACAAAGGCCATGTAACCTGCCTATATCTTGTGCATGAGGGAGTTATTGACCTAGAAACAGTGTGGTGATAAAATTCTCCATGTGGTTTCACGGTGTGATTTTTTTGGTCACTCGGCTCCGAGGGTTAACACACTGATTCACTTTCGTAAAATGCGTCATTTCGTGTCACGCAACTTTTCAAACCAACCGTCCAACCATCCATTACCTGCTTATTTCGGTGCTCTTCTGTCTTTTGTTTCTCTCCCTCTGCATGACCTGTTCCATCTGCTGCTGTTCCTCCCTCTGGCGCTGAAGCACCTCCTCTTCCGTTTCCCCCGTCAGGTGGTTCCTGGGCTCTACCCTTTGGTGGGCATCGGCTTCCGCCCTCCTCCGGTCCCTCTCTTTCTCTTCCTTGAGACTAAATCCAAAACGAATCAAAACTCAGGTCATTTGTTTGTAAAGCCTGTCACATACATACCTTGAAGACTTGTGGTGAAGTTGTGATTGATTTGTGATTGACTTGTGATGACTTGTGATGACTTGTGATTAACTTGCGATAGACTTGCGATTGACTTGTGATTGACCTGTGATTGACTTGTGATTGACTTGTGATGGACTTGTGATGACTTGTGATGACTTGTGATGACTTGTGATTGAGCTGTGATTGACCTGTGATTGACTTGTGATGGACTTGTGATGACTTGTGATGACTTGTGATGACTTGTGATGACTTGTGATTGAGCTGTGATTGACCTGTGATTGAGCTGTGATAGACTTGTGATGGACTTGTGATGACTTGTGATGGACTTGTGATGACTTGTGATCGACTTGTGATGGACTTGGGATGACTTGTGATGGACTTGTGATGGACTTGTGATGGACTTATGAATCTATAATGACTGGTGATGATTTGTGATGACTTGTGATTTGACTTGTAATGGACTTATGATGACTAGATTTGTCTTGTGTTGAGTTGTGATTGACTTGTGATGACTTACAAACTCTGTTATGCCATGGTCAAAAGCCCAATGAATTTTACTCCCTGTGTTGTTTTGGTTGTTTTTGTTTTTGTTGTGATTTTCTTTCTTGCTTATTTTTTGGGCTGCACAGGCTGATTGTTTTACCTCTGAATGTTCTTCTGATGTTCCTTCTTGCGGATGTTTTCTCGCACCTGTTCCCGCTCGATGTCCATGAACAGCCGACGGTACATGGAATACTGGTTGCCAACCTGCAAACACAATTTGTTATTTTTTTATTATTTCCCAGGTACCCACTATCCTACTCCAGGGCACTGGTGCCCTACTTGATTTTGCTGGTCATAGAGAGGCTAGCCGATACAGCTCTTCTTGTTCCTGACTGACTGTCACTTATGATTTAGACTTCCTTGAGTCTAAGCTTGGCCAAAAAGTTTGAGAGACAAAAATTCAAATCTAGCTTTGGTGGGAAAGGCAAGTTTAAGTTATTAAAAATGTCTAAATGGTTCGAATGGAATGAAGTTGTGACCCTTCAGTACAAAATCAATCAGAAGTTGCACAGGCGTATTCTGAGGTTCAGCATTTCACACATGGTGAAAAATGATTGAAAGTCAGATTCAGGGATTAGAAGTATACACTGAAGTTAATTTATAAATTTCGTAAGGATTTCATTAGCGAAACCTCATTAAAAAATTTCTCGACTTTTTGTTTAACTTTCTGAGTCCCGAACATTGGGAACTGACAATACCTATTACTTTTGCTGAATTCTATATTCTGTACATCATTGGAAAGCTTATTCAATTTTCTTCCCAATGATTGCTAAAACCTCAGTTTTCAAGAGTTTGTCCAAATGACTGGTTTTGTGCTGGATGATTAAAAATAGAAACCCCCTTTTTTTTTTTTTTAACAAAACAATACCCTTCTTTTGTTTTCCTCCTTAAGAACACCAGGATGCAGCTCTGGAACGGTCCTTGACATTTTGACATGCTCCTTCTCCCTCCTGTTCGGCTTTGGTCTGACCTCTGACCTCATCTGCATATCATTTGCATATTTATCACAGAGGTCGCCCTGCGCTCTAGTCTTGACACTGCATCTTGCAGATTCTCCTTGACCTGTCACCCCGCGACCTCTCGCCCTACCCAGGTCGCCAGAAAAGGTCACCGTCTTAGGGGCCGGGACCCCGGCCAAGCGGCGCAAAGCGTCCGGGTCATGTGATCCAGAGGGAGGGCGGTTTTCCCCCTCTCCGTAACTGGAGAGTTCGTCGATTGTCTGTTGGGGGATCCTTGTGTCGCTGTCCGTTGTTTCGCTCTCGATATCGTTGACATGTTGTTTGCTTCCTGACTCATCTGCATTTACTGGATCATGTATCTGGGGGGTGGGGGGGTTACAAAAGTAAAAGTTGTTCATCACAAAGATAAACAGAAGGAAAAGCGACTAAGTTCATTTTGAATTATTACATAAAATTCGATTTGAAACCCAAAACTTCCAGAACACTATACACTGTAGCTCTATAACAACTGAGCTATCCAGCACAGTGTTGGCAGTTTCCCCAATAGACCAATCCATTAAGCCACGCTTACTGCACTTGTGGGCAACTTACACATGTACATGTACCTCTCTAATACCAAACTGCATGTTTCAGCCCCGCCTCATACGCACCTGCAAGCATGTCAGACTTTAGACACAAACCACAGCTGTGATTGGTAAGAACACCATGGGGTGGGGCTGAAATGGATCGGTCTATTTGCTAGTGTATCCTGGTAAAGTACAAACAAATGGCACATTATCACGGTATAACTACTACCATTGTACATGTATAACAAGAGAAATTAGTGCTGACCTGTCTGTCCCTTGAGTACTGGCTTCCCCATGTTCCGCCGGGAAGATTGGCCTGTGAAACAAAAGTCAATAAACGAGTAAAGAGGTATGGATTGGGACCAGAACCCTATGTTAGGGAATTGGACTGTAAACTGAGGTACTGTAAACATGAGTGGAGTGCTGTGGCCTCGTGGTTAAGGGCACTGGATTCGTGGTCTGCGGGTAAAGCTGCGGGTTGTGGGTTCGAGTCCAGCCGGGGTCATGGTGCGTGTGCCCTTGAGCAAGGCACTTTGTCACTCATTGCTTCTCTCCACCCAGGAGTAAATGGGTACCTGTGAGGGCAGCGATGGTTATTGTGATTGAATTAGCTTGCTTGCGCCTAACAGGCAGCATCAAGCTGTATACTCCCCAGGGAGCTGAGATGGTATTTGGAATGTTTAATTGGCCCAATGATCAGGGGTAATAATAATACTGTAAGCGCTGTGATTTAGTTTACTAATAACCTTGGGCGTTCTTAAATGCCGATTATTATATTATTATATTATATGACAACATCACAACAGACAACGATCATATGTAATGTACCCAACAAATGCATCCACGTGCTACTACGAAAGCCAGCAGGATGCTAGGTGTTGTGCAACGCAACCTTTACGCTTGTCCAGAGAAGCTGAAGGAGACAGCATACACCAGCCTCGTCCAACCTCATGTCGATTACGCATCCGTAGCATGGGATCCCCACCAGAAAGGACACATCAAAGACATTGAGAAAATCCAGAGGGGGGCTGCCAGATTCATTAAACGCAACTCCATCCGCACTGCAGGCACAGTAACTCAAATACTTTAATAAGGAATTAGGCTGGGACACACCAGAGGATAGGAGACGACAACCAAGACTCATCCTAATGTACAAGATCACCAACAACTTGGTCGACATCCCCAGTGATCGCTATCCAACAGCCAGCAACCCGACGCTCACGCCATACCAACACCAAAGGTAACATCACCCATAGTGCCTGCCTGGACATCCACAAGTTCTCATTTTTTCCACGAACTGTGACAGAGTGGAATGCCCTGGTTGATTCATTAGTCAACGCAACGTCACTGATCAGTTTTAAGCAGCAACTCTAATAAATCCCAACACACCCCCGCACAAGCCTGGCTATTATGCTCGTCATAGAGTCCAGCCAGTATAAGAAGGGAAGCAAAAACACCCGACCAAAAATGCCAGGTACCAGGTTACTTTTTATCTCCAGTTTTCTTACCAAAATCCTTCTTTGCAGATAAAAACGCAACCTACATGTACATGCACTGAAAGGGAGACACAACTTTTGATGACATGCCGATCAAAATTAAAAATTAGCATGCATGAGAGAAAATCCTGACATCATTACCACCTTGACTTTTACTTCCTGTAGCGCCCGAAACCACGCAAGCACTAAATGGTTTTAAGGATCACAAATAAACACAATGTAATACAATGTATTACAATTGGTAATGGGTTTAACAATCCATCATACCTGTGGTTGGCACATCTGCTTGGCAGCCAGGCTGCGCTTGGCCTGCGACACGATGCGATGCACCCGGTGCGATCGTTCTGTCAGCTGACCGCCGTCGACGCGGACAGCCACCTCGGCTTCCGATTCGCTGCCAGACGTCACGTTATCTGAGGAATGACCAATGGCAAGGGCCTCATTGTCATGACGATACAGGCAGCGATCTTTCTTTGGCGTGGAGCGCTCGGCAGCATGGGAGCTCTGCTGGACGACGTTGCTTTGCAGTTCAACCTGGTGCAGAAAACGAAAAATTCCCACAATTAGGGCCGTGCTCTGGTTGAGGCTAATTAATCGAATAATCAAATTATGTGGGGGGGGGGGGGGGAGGCTGGGCTGTGCAGTACACCAAATATTCAATCATCCACTGAACATCCCAATAGTATTTTGTTTAATTCCATTATTCATAAAGTGAGAACAGTTTTGAGATGATGAAAACTGTCCACCGCGTTATTTCAATCGCAAAAAGTTGCGAGGTTTTATTGTTTGTCAAACACCACACTTGTCGAAATCCACTTTACATGTACATGGAATACTTTGAGAGCTTCTATGGGAAATATTTAAGCTGAAATTTCAACTGCCGACCCTAGGCACACTTAAATTGTTCGAGTCCATCAGGTTACCGGAAACCAGCGTTGTAGTCGAGTAATTTTTCCGAGTACCGAGTACTGCTGAGTACTTAGGTTACCGAGTACGAGTACTTCCGAGTGCCAGTACAGGTCTCCGAGTACAAGAACTTGTAGATCCCAGTACAAGAACGAGTACGAGTACTTGTATTTCCGAATACTGCCATGCCGCAATTGGTTCATTGTGCGTAATTGGCCCAGGCCCAGTTAGACTGATATACAGACCAACTCGATCATGGCTTACTCACCAGGAAACTTTGATTTCTCTGCAAGCCTATCAACCATTTCAAACAGAAAATATCAATAAAATAAGGCCATGGTAAGTCAAGCTACACCATTTTTTTTTTAGCACTGCTATTCAAGTACGAGTACTTTGATGATCGAGTACAATGTTGATATGTCGAGTACACGTACATGTACTTTGCTGCCTGATTACGAGTAGGCCCTACTATCATTTCGAGTACGAGTACTACAACACTGCCGGAAACACAGCATTATGTTTTTCTGCCTTTGTAGCAACTTTCTGTGCTGAACAGCTTCCCTGAGTTTGTCCCCATGTTCCCCTACACGGACTCTCACCGCATGGAAGGACTCGTTCAGCAGCTCTTGCTGTTTGACCAGCTGCAGCTGCCGGACCCGCTGTTTAACGTCCCGTCGGAATCGTTCCAGCTTGGCATGCTTCTCTGCCTGAGCCTGCAGGATCCGTTGCTCTTCCTGTTCAGCAGACACCTGAAAGGAAAACAAAATTTATATTTGTAAACACGGATGCTTAAGGCCGAGTAATAAAAAAAGTAGTTTCTCGTCTGGCTTTCTTTAAAAATGAAGGAGGTGGGCGTTTCTTTCCTTTATCCCAAGATTGCGGATTTTCCAATATGGCAGATGGATTCTTCAATTTTCTCGACTATTTTGCTGATGTTTACGAAATTGTGTCCACAGTTGCCATAACCCTTTCTAAATATGTACAATTTGGTTAGAAACAAATAAAAAAGACAAAAATGTGCAAAATATATTGCAAATGTTTGACATAAAAAATTTAAATTTAAAAAAGGAGGTGGCTGGGCAAAAAGGATGGAGACAGGGAAGCCGGACGGGAGACTGGTTACTAGGTCTCGTTCAAATGACATCGTTTCCTACAGACCATCCACATGCGTCGGTATTTTGAACGTCAATTTGCATAACACGCATCGTTTGAGATAGCCTTGGTCAATGCTCTCGTCGTTATTCGGTCAATCATCGGCATAATCACGCGCTATGCACATGCATGTAAAAATACAGCGCGAACAGCGACCTCACGCGGCCACTATTTTTATATGCAAATCAGTTGGGGACGATCGAGAGCCTTGGTTCAATCATTCATCTGAGGTTTTGGGGGTGGTGCTCATTATGTTAATAGCCTTAGCTGACCTTAAATGTCGTTTTCTTATTGGTCGATCGTTGCGTGGAAACTTGCATAGTGAAACGTGGCACCGTACATAATCCATACACGTACACGTTGTGTGTCTCTGCACACGGCACCAATGCACAAAACTGTGGTTCCTGTCACGTCCGCAAAAGGCGAATAGCTGCAAATAATTTGATGACGTCCGGATTTACCAAGGTGTGATTGGACACTCCAGATATTAGCCCCGCCTACACTTATCTGTATTTGCATACGAGGTCGTGCGCTAGAAATCCAGCGCAAAATAAAGAAAAAACATAAGCTTTTGCCGACGATTGAACCAAGGCTCTCGATCGTCCCCAACTGATTTGCAAAAAAAAATAGTGGCCGCATGAGGTCGCTGTTCGCGCTGTATTTTTACATGCATGTGCATAGCGCGTGAGGCCTGGGATATACATGTATGCCGACGATTGACCGCGTACGGGACGAATAACGACGAGAGCATTGACCAAGGCTACGTTTGAGATGATTACTCCTAGAACTATGAGGCTCCACGTAGTGGAGCCTCATAGTTCTAGGAGTATGAGATGATATGTCGTGTAGGCCTATGTAAAGAAAAAGCAGCGTCAGGTTGAAACATTTTTTTCAGGGAAAAAAACTGAAGTAGGCCTAGGCCTAGCTGGAGTTACCCAGCCCTGAGTTTTATCATTGGGTTGTCATTTAGGGCTGGAGCTAGTTTTTCACGTAACCGAGCAGCGTAGGCAGGTCCCAAAAAAAATTGGAAAATGTTCAATTTTGTCCCCGTTACACACTAATTGCAACTGCAACTCACCCCAAACTTGCCTGGAATAACCATTACACAGGTCCTTGAAGTAAAAAACGATCCACGATGAAGATTCAGCCTACAATTGCAGTGAAAAAAGGAGGAATAACCGCTAACCTGACAACCTTGCATGCATGGCCAGGACCGCAATTGGTTTGTGCACAAAAAAAATTGTGTACAATGAATGGCGGTTGGTTACCAGGCTGTCAACTAGTCGTTTTTGCCGGCTGCGCTGGCTGTTGGCGCATGACGTCACGCGGAAGCGTAACACCCGATGACTGTTTCATGCACTAATATGAGGTTTACCACTCGCATCACAGCTGCGGTACTGGAACCGCAACCGATACTAGTGCAATTTTTTTTGGGACCTGCCTACGCTGCTCGGTTACGTGAAAAACTAGGGTAATCCTTATCTTTAGGACACCTCTATTTTTCACAAGTTCTGTTCAAAACTGACTTTGGCAATAGACTGTCCAGTACCAAAGTGACCTTTGCAGGCTAAAGAAATCTTTTATCTTCTGATTAATGTTCTAAAGTTGTAATTTTGAAAGCACTTTCAAAGAAAATGTGACTTTCCTACCTTTTTTGCAGTTTGCCATCTTGGTTTTTGAGTCTGTTTACTGTTTGTCATTGCCGTGTTTTACCCCCTAATTTCCCTCATAAATCAAAGCCCTGCCAGCCTCTTTCCACAAAATTAAACCTGCTGATATATTCAAGAAGGGTCATACTGTTCAGATATAAGACAAGAAATATCAGAATGTCACTTTTGAGTGTCATTTAGTCAGCTGTTTTGGTGAGTCTTGTAACCTTATATAGGAATGGGGTCCTAAAAGTAAGGATTACCAAAACTAGCTCCAGCCTAAATGACAACCCAATGATAAAACTCAGGGCTGGGTAACTCCAGCTAGCCTAGGCCCATTTACTGAGAAAACACTTCGAAATTTTCAAACCACTCTCATAGGTTTTGTGCACAGGGTGACAAGTGATGGCCAGATATGGGAATCTTTCCAAATGTTTACTCTCCATCGCGGCAGACTAAAAACTGCAAAATGTTCATTAACAATTAACATGATTAACATGTATAAATTTGTAATTTTACTCACGACTGCACCACATTTAACCCGGCTATTTTGGGACTCTAACTCGACCCAAGCGCCCACTGGCACAACCTTGGCTGGTCTTCTTGCCAAATTCGTCTGACTTTTACGATAAAAACCGCTGGCTGGCTGCATGTTTTGAGGTTGGGGAATGTGATTTTACGAACAAAACAGATACAATTCAGCCGCCATTAATTTAAGTCAAAAAAGCAGCGGCGCCGTACGTACGGTTCCGGTTTCGAATAATCGATTTTGTACCGTCTCTATTCCGCGCACCGCCCTCTGTTGACATAAAGTCAGCCAAAAGCACGTCTCGCCGGCAAAATCACTGCTGAAACCCCAGTCCCTCTTTGTTTGCCCGGGGTCCGCTCATAAGTCCGACGCCTCAATAGTTCCGACGCCTCATAAGTCCGACAAAATCGCATCCCCTAACCAAATAAAGGCCCATAAGTCCGACGTCTCATAAGTCCGGCGGCCTCCTCATAGCTCCGACGCCTCATAGCTCCGACGCCTCGTAAGTCCGACAAATGAAACGACGCCTCGTTTTTCTGACGTCGGACTCATGAGGCGTCGGACTCATGAGGCGTCGGACTTACGAGGCGTCCGGGCTTATGCTACGGCCCCGTTTGCACAGGCGGGACTCGAACCCGGGTCACAGCGGTGGAAGGCAAGGATCAAGTACCGCTACGCCAGCCTGACTCCCTTTTACGTTAGGTAAATTTACTTTATTTGTTGTTCCTTTATTAAATACAGAATTTTTTGACCCAACCGGATAGTTCAATCCAAGGTTTTAATAGAAAATGAAGGGTGTCGTCCCAACTTATTTGCGCGCGCGTACGTTGAATATAGAAAGAAAAACACCCAAGGTACTTGAAGATGCATTTTCTTTGAAGAAAGTTTGTGGCTTAAAAAAAATCACAAGCCATTGGCATATTATGATCCCCCGGTCGAAAACTGAAGTCGTTTTCAAAAATCAAATCGTCATTGTAAAGAGTAAGAAGTCAGGTTTGCGTAGCCGTTCTTTCCTTGCCTTCCATGATCGATCCACCGCGCTGACCCGGGTTCGATTCCTGTCCTGGTCCACATGTGGATTGGTTTTCAGTCCCTAACTGATGCCGTGGGTTTTCCCCAGACTGTTATTCTGGGTTTTTCCTCCTTCTACCTCTAAAACTGTAGTCATTATTGTCTTCTTTCTTTAGGCTAATATCAGAGCTACAGTGCCCGGCACTTTTGAGCATGGGCGTCGCCAGGATTGTTTTCTGTAGAGAGAGGCAACGCACATTTCGTCATCGGCACCACGAACTGAAACTCACGCGGAAGTGGGTGTTAGTTCGTGGTGCCGATGACGGTTCCCCCCCCCCCCCCCCACAAATCCCTGTACTTTTCCTGCATATTCTCGATTTATCATTTTTCGAGGGTGCATGGACAGGGACATTAGCACCCCAACCAATTAAATTAACTTTTTTGTTTTGTGTTTGTTTTGTTTTGTTTTGTTTTGCTTTTCCGGGAGGGGGGGGGGGGGAAGCGCCCCCTTGCCTCCCACCCCCCGTGACACCCGGCATGCTTTTGAAGAATCCTCGGTTTCATTAGCAGAAATAAATAAGTAAATGATTGAGTCACAGTCTATATTTGTTTAGCAATAAAACAAAAATGAAACGACATCAGCCTAGAAGGAGTTTTAGCCACACATAAATTATTACACTTATTGTTTCGGTTAGTTTAGACATGAGTGGCTTTCGACTTTCACATAAAAGAGTGACGGTTTTAAACATATTTTTTAGAACTTTGACTTCCATTCAGTTACGTTAGAATTGTAGTTCAAAAAGAAAAGCCAAAATCGAAAGGATCCATAAGGATATATAGGTTAAAAAAATCATCATGTCAACAAACAAAAATGTACGTTGTTCATAATAGTTTCTCTTTCCATTGAGATAGCTACCTGCACATTAAACAAATATTGACTTCGATCATTGACTCTGACCGGACCGTGCATAAACATGGCTAATCTGTACTGCAGTTGATGCTACTGAGGACATTATGATACGTTCATTTTATCAACAGCTAGGAGTATATAGGCCTATGAAGTGCGTATTGAGCTATTGACGGCGAGAAAGATTATCTCAGATTGCACGAAATTATGTTATTGCAATGCCATTATTAAATATGGTAAGCGTTTGATCATACAGGCCTGTGTTATAATTGTTGTTTGTGTGTGGTGGGGTCCTGGAACACAAACACTTACCGACGTTCATTGGGTACGTATGCACTGTTGTTTAATACTGTGATGACTTTTTTTGGTGAACTGCAAAATCATTTGCTGGGATGCTCGGATTTCCCAGCTTGCTATCCATCTGCACGATATTACAGCAACAAAGCTATTATCAAAAAAAGAAGGTTTTTTTGTGGCTTGTGGTACAGCCTTGAACGGAGTGCAAACAACCCTAGAAAGGTAGTGAAGCCGTGATCTGTGAAAAGACGTCACTTGTCCCATGGACAGGGAGAAGAATAGGGGCGGGGATTGCCTTTATTTGATCGAGGATTCAACCTTGCCGTATCACAGGTGTGCGTGAGAAGCCGGGCTGCTAGGGGTGCATAGAGGGGCTTTTTGGGCGCATCCAACGGTGACTGGCACACTGGGGTAAATATCCTCAGTGGTGGTATTCTGTGTATTGTAGTCCCGTTTCGGCCGGTGAACGTGTACTGACATCTTCATCCATCAGCACGTATAACAGGAAGCATTGTTTGATTGTGAAAAAATATTATGCAGGCGTCGGATGGAATCGGTACACAAGTTGATATGAACTTCACACGGAAGTTGTCTCTTCATAAATAAAGCAGTCAAGTCTTTAAGCCCGCACCAACCCACCTGGACTTTTTTGGTGGATCTATGGAGGCTTTCCCACTCGAGCGAATGGACAGTTCTGCATATGAATCCTTCTTTTTTTGTCATTCAAATCTCGACGAAATTGTGAGCCTTTTTTCCGTGTGAAATGCGTGGGAGTGTTATTATTTAATATTTCTATTTGCTCAGGTCGAGTTTGCATGCCAGCAAACGGAAGTGTTTTCTTAACCCGGTAGCTGTGAAAATCCCCCCCCCCCCATTTGGAGCTACTCTGGCATGGTAATTTGTGCGGGACACCGTTCATAATGCGACCTTGTTGCATGGATTAAAAATAGGATACCTTGAATTTCAGGTATTTCTATAACCCATATCCACGTCGGCTTGCAGAGTGCGAACCTGGATTTCTGATTCGACAAATCCGATATTTTCTTTCACGCTTTTACACAGTTTGGGATCATAAATCGCGTCAGATGCCGATACGTGCACCCATTGTAGACTCGTGCGAATTGTATCCAGATCATTTTTGCCGAAATCCAGCAAATAATAAGAAGAATCTGGGAAGACAAGGGGATCGTTATTTTTCCACCGGAGCAACATAGTGCAGCTTCTCGGTAAGTTTTCATTCGTTAATTGTTTTTTTGAAACTCCATGTTCAAAACTTATTATAGCAATCAATAACAGTCTGTGTTTCTATTCAATGGAAGAGTGTTCTTTAAACTTTTCTTTCACTGTATATGCAGAACGTGAGACAATGTGATGTTAATAGTGTTTGAGGCATACGGTACTACATATTGAATGCTCATTTTTGTGGGTGTGTTTTGTTTCCTGGAGAACTCAGATGGTTTTGGGGTCGACTGCGAAGATAAAGTAATGGGGATTTGGTACCAAATGTTCCTTTTGGCAAACATCAGCTGTAGACACCAATGAATTGATGGACTGGTAGTTTCTAAAGGATGTCAGACGATTCGAGCGTTTGCAAACTCGACTCCAAGTTTTAAGTCGACTCGGGTAGGCCTACAACGGACGACTGGGCAAAGGGTCGAGTTTTCACAACAGACAAGTTGTCTCAGCGGTCGGGCGAGTTGGTTGGAGTCGAGTTGGCAACTAACGGTCGAGTTGTCTGGATACCTTTGTAAAGAGGTGTCAGACTGGTTCTTTCATGCGCAAATCTATCCCCCGATGAAAAGCGCAGAATGCAGAATCCCGACGCCTTATTATATAGCTTTCATCGAATGGACAACTTTGACTATTTGAAAAACAGTTCAACTTTTTCTTATCCAGGATTCAGGACACATGCAATCCTTCTTACCAAGAACAGTCAGAAAATGGAACAAATTAGCCCAAGATGTCATCAATGCCCCAAACCACAATCAATTTAAATCATTGATTTAGTTAATGCCACTCTCTTAGTTATACTTCCTCGAGGAGTTCTGAAGAGGATAACCACCAAGTACCAAGAACTAAGTACTCACGTAATACAATCACTCAAAATAATGTGCCATCGGACAGGTTTGGGTACTCTCAATGCACATGCAATGTTTTGCGTCACCGACGTTTTTAAACACTGTATACTCAGTGTGTTACCTCCCGAGTGAAAGTTGGAAAAAAATCACTCGGGTGGGACTCGAACCCACGACCTCCTGCTTTCTAGTGCAGATGTCTTACCACTCGACCACCGAGCTAACGGGATCGGTTGGCCGATTTTGAAGGGCAAAACCTAATTTGAATCTTTTTAGTCTTTTAAAAATTAACACAAGCGTCTTAAAGGCACATAGAATGTAAAATGGTTTGCACTTTGTGCATTGTTTGCGTGTGAAGCCACAAATTGCTCAAAATATTACGCTGCTTAACACTATAACCTAACGAAGTGGGCACGTAACCCCCCTTTCTAGTTACGCCTCTGGATTCGCATTCGATCGGCTCCCATGGGTGTTCTTTGCAATGACAGTAGTTAACACTAAAGAACTACTTTAGTGATTGTTTTTCTTTAAACCTCGGAAATATTTCACAGACTTGTGGTTGTGGTTCTATCTTCTCTTTAAGCAAGGTTATAGTCTCATTAAATGAGTAGGTTCGTTCCCAACTTCCCCGTATTTTGCTTGGATACAGAGAGATACCGGCAGATCACAAGGTAGCTGACCCGGCGTGTATCTTCCCTTGTTATGTTATAAGCAGTATTAAATAGCTAGGCCAGGACACAATATATCGATCGCCTTATTGCAATTAGGGGCCGGTTGTAATTACCTTAAACGACCGCATTCCTCCCGATTTATCGAACTCTTGTTGAATTCTTGTTTACACCTGGAGCTCCGGGCCTGACACTGTTAGGAAGAATAAAGCTCCGCGGGTACCCTGGAATCTTATTAGTAAATAATGGCCAGTCCGGGACAAAGTGATCAGTGCGAGAATGGGGTGGATCTTTTGCGTATTGTCCGTGGACAATGGAGTATCGCGAGTGCGAACCACCCTGTAGATGACGGGGACATACAGCAAGAAGTGATTGTGGAATTCAAAAGCCAGGCTATTTGGGTGGGAGTTTCTTCCTACCTGCGGTAATGGGTTGAGTGACCTTGTACATATTGTGCTTATAACATATTGTTCATGTACCCTCACAGGTGTACATCCCATACGTCAAATGAAAGCTTAATTTACACTTTTTCACATTCTAGCTGTTCATATTTTGGGGGTTTAATCCATGACTTTTGGGTGATTTATACCTCCAAAGATTATCACACCTAAAAGATGACCACCACTAGAAGGTGATAACCACTACTGAACAGATGACCACTCCAAAAGATGATCAGCCCTAAAAGATGATCACCCCTAAAGATGATCACCCCTAAAAGATGATCACCCCTAAAAGATGATCACCCCTAATAGATGATCACCCCTAAAAGATGATCACCCTAAAAGATGATCACCCCTAAAAGATGATCACCCCTAAAAGATGATCACCCCTACAAGATGACCACCCCTAAAAGATGATCACCGCTTTAAGATGATCACCCCCAAAAGATGATCACCCCTAAAAGATGATCACCCCTAAAAGATGATCACCCCTAAAAAATGATCATCCCTATGATGATCACCACTAAAACATGATCACCCTTAAAATATGATCACCCCTAAAAGATGACCACCCCCAAAAGATGATCAACCCTAAAAGATGATCAACCCTAAAAGATGATGCATTGAAAAATTGAGCGTATTCCTGGTCAAATATCTTCCCAGATTTCTCAGAAAAACACTCGTTTGCACACTTCACTTCACAAGCTTCACTTGTTTGCACATCTCGGAGTGGCCAACGAGCAATCCAGTTTTTTTTACCTGCAGGTCAGTGGTCTGCACCCATGAGCAGTTTTCGAAATATGTCCCGTTCAACAAGAGGACGCAAATCATGCCTATGTCCCAAGCGGAGGACTTGAGTGACAGGTCATTGAATGGGGTTCTGTTGTCCAAGGGAATGAAAATGGTCAAGTCAGCAAACAGGGCAAAGTGGCGATAAGTGGAGTGCCAATCCCCTGGCGAGATTCTCGTATAACAAGGTGTGTGAATAGGCGTTCTCCTTGGTATACAAGTATCTTCCCACATTCTTGCATATCTGGATGCGTTGTCAAGGTGGTGACTGCTCTATGTACCGACACCCCTATGTTCCAACAACCCGCACATAAGACTGTGTTACTCCCGGTTAGGTTAGCTAGGGTTAGAGTTAGGAATTGGAATATGTGAAGTCGGAACATAAAGGGTGTCGGACATATAACCATCAAGGTAGGGAACGCATGCAGTTTAAGAACGTACGAGGATAGGGGAATTTAATCAATCCAAGGCAGATTATTATGTACTAGACGTTCCGACCCAAACCTGTTTACCATTCCACAGCCACAATGTCAAGTTTACATGCACTCCTTCTTCCCGAACTTTGACAGCAAGGGAGTGGAAAATCAAATTAGGTTTTTGCCCTTCACCGACGTTTAAACACTGTGTACTCGGTGTGTTACCTCCCGAGTGAAAGTTGGAAAAAAATCACTCGGGTGGGACTCGAACCCACGACCTCCTGCTTTCTAGTGCAGATGTCTTACCACTCGACCACCGAGCTAACGGGATCGGTTGACAGTTCAAAGCAGCTCCCCTATCACATCTAAATAGACTGAGCAACCTTCCCTTTTCTAAGTGTTGCTCAAGTTGAGCTGACCAGAGTAACCACAAGGTAAAGGCAACCAGTCCAACTTTTCAATAGACGTCACATTGCAGGTGTCTCAGCTCTCAAGTGTCTCTAGTGTGTCCAGCTAAAAGGCTAAGGTGTCGGGTATCAAAGCAAATTTTTCCTTTTGTTAAAATCGGTCTGCCCTTTTGGGGCCATTTTTCTCTGAAATCCAGGTCTCAGCTAAAGTACGTTTTGCGAACAGATAGGTAATTGGAGGAGTTATCATCATGTACGCCACCATCTCTCGTTGGATCGTCTCCACCAAGGCCTCCCTGCATCTCCTCTCCTTGGCTGCCGTCCTCCTGGGCGCGGTGCTCGTCCTCGCCCACCGATCCAGCTCCCGGCTCCGAGGCGCTAACGCCGCCCAGCCCCGGCCGAGTGGCAGGCCTCTGCCCGGCCCGCGATCCTGGCCCTTAGTCGGCAGCATCCCCGCCATCGTCTGGTACACCAAGCACTACGGTCACCGGGCCTTCACGGAGATCGCCCGGCGACACGGGGCCGTGTTCGGCCTGCGGCTGGCGCCCGGCCAGCTGTTGGTGGTGCTCAATGACCGGAGTAGTATCAGGGAAGCCTTCGTCAAGCAGGCCGCCAGAATGAACAACAGACACCTTCAGGGGCTCGTCAAAGTGTCTTTCCCGGTTCAAGGTAATTGATTTAATTTTAAATTTTGGAATTCAACCAAAGTTCTCTCCTTCAGAAAAACAATTCCTCTGGTGAAATTGCAGTTCTCATTTGAAGGAACCGTAGGTCATCAAGGTGTCTCCAGTTGGGTTTTTTTTTGGCGCAGTTCTTCCTCGGTCTGTGTGTGTGTGTGTGTGTGTGTGTGGGGGGGGGGGGTCAGTGTCGAGACTCCCGCTCTAGCTTCGTCTCCGATTTTGGCTCCCTCAGTGGCTTCAGAATCATTTAGACGCTTTTAATGTTTAACTTCAAACAAAAATTAGATGCTCGAGGAACTGCGGCCTTATACAGGTACTAAAGATTTGGCGTTTTGCATAATTGATTCGGTTTCCCCCGAAATCGGAGATTTAAAAATCTCCTGAAGCAAACCGAAAAACTTCCTTTGTCATCCTTCCTAGCTGGAAAAAGTATGGTCATTCTATGCATTCTCCAAACTCATATAGGCCCGATTTAATGGCGCTGCTACGCACACGAGTTTTTCCCAACAGAGCCTCCGTCTATTTGGTCATTTTGGGGCACGATATTTCTCTTTCACGTCAGGCGAGTTATCAGTTTCCATGAATTGATATGCTAGTATTTATAAAGGGCCTTCTTTCAAATAATTGCAAATTCTAGAATGTTTGCACGTTTATTTTTCTGTTCAAGGGTTCCAGAAGCGCGGCGGCGTCTTCAGGGGTGAACTTCCAAGCAGTGATGTAGTGCCTTGATGCTGGGCCTTGGCCTTAAGGCTGCCTTAAGGCTGGATTTTAGGGCCTTGGCCTTGGCCTCGAGGCTTGAGGGCAAAAGCCTTGGCCTTGGCCTTGGCCTTGGCCTTGAGGGTTCAGGGCCTTGCAATTTTGAGTCAAGGCTCTTCAAGGCCCATAGAGTTTTGCATTTTCCAGATAAATCTGTTCGAAATTTTGCTGTTACCATTTTAATCGTATTACATGTACGATGGAGGAGGGAAGCACCATATAGATTTGTGTGTTAGGCACACTTCCACTTTTATAGCATCACATGTTGTTACCATTGTAGTAGATTTGCTGCAACAATATTCCGTACACTTGTGGGGCTAATGAGATGATCACTTTAATTGCATATAACTATGGAATAGATTTGATTGGTTGTATATGTCTCCCTGATAAGTGCTAAAGATTTGCATGTATCTGTTTTAGATAATGCTGATATTTCTGACCATGTTGGGCCAGCAAATAAAAATTTCCCAAATCAGTTTCTTGGATCCCCCTTTTGTTACACTTGGGAGAATTGTGTGTCAATATAGAAGTAAATCATTATTTTGTTTAGTTAAACCATATTGAAGACCTGAACTTATACGTTAATAGATACAGTGCAGTCATAAAACGGTGTAGGCCTATGCGAGCATGTTGATTGCAATTAAGAAATGTTGTTCTTCGTAACGAGCAATTCGTGATGATAAGGCCGGATCCAGGGGGGTCAAAAGGGGCCACGCCCCCCCCCCCCAAAAAAAAAACGAAACCATTTTTTTTTTTATGTGACGTCGTAATAAAGGCAGGCAATGAGTACACCACCATCTTTTCCTAAATAAACATCGGTTAAAATGGTCAGAAATTGCCTCAAATCGCACCACAGAGCATCTCGAATCCAATTTTTTTTCGGGGCCCTTAAGCGGGCCCCGAAGCCCAAGCCGTAATCTTTTGACCCACTTTTTTTTTGGGGGGGGGGGGGGGGACCAACATTTCTTTGCCCCCCCCCCCCCAATTGTGTTCTGGATCCGCCCTTGCGTGATGATGTGTCACTCATGTGACTATAATTAGTTCTATATCAGTGGTCATTTCATAAAACAGGGCCTTGGCCTTGGCCTTGGCCTTGAGGGTTAAGCCTTGGCCTTGGCCTCGAGGCTTGAGGGTCGAAGCCTTGGCCTTGGCCTTGGCCTTGAGGGTCAAAGCCTTGGCCTTGGCCTTGGCCTTGAGGGTCAAAGCCTTTGCTCCAACACTGCTTCCAAGCTCTATTACATGTGTGATGAAACTTTCGTTGAGTAGCCCTGGAAGCCGATATAAATGTTTTCCAAATTAACTGTTTGTCCATCATTAAAAAAATCATGTTTAAATTAAGGTACAAGACAAAAAAAGTTTACTCTCTGACATTTTGCGAGTGGTTTCTGTTCATTTGGCCTCATTTTGCACGGCACTTCGAGCTCGCGAAAAAAAGCTTGTCTTAATGTCTTAATGTCTTAATATTGTGGTGTGTAAATGGAAAACAAATTGTGTTGTATTTTAACCGAGTTAAGTTGCCACTTTACAGGGTGTTTCAATAAAAAGGAAACCCAACTTTGAAGAACCAGTATGGACAGACTAAACGTTTACTGGCTGTTAAACTGTTATCATCTGAAAGCGTAATCTCTATGCTTTTCAATACCTGGTTTACATTTCCAGGTTCATGCATCACTGAGCGCCACTGTCATGAGATTTTGATGCAAAATTGCAGTTGATTCACTTTCATGTCAAACACAATAGGCGTGGTGTGCATGAGAATAAGTATACAAGAAGGCACGAGTGCATAAAAAGAAACCAAAAAAAAAGAAAGAAAAAAGTCGGGTTGGTTTCATAACTGGATTTTATTGTTTGTCATGAATTTCTCGTTTTGACAAAGCCACGTTCAAAACAACGTGCCCTTTTCCGGAGGGTTTACATTCAAGCCATTTCACAGACATTTTCGTAACAATAGGCACACCGTGCCCAGTGGTTTTCTTTTTCTTGTGAAAGTGAACCAACTGCATTTTTGCATCCAATTTTCAAGACAATGATGCTCACCGATGCATGACTCTGAAAACCTAAACATAGTATCATTGAAAAGCATAGACATTACGCTTTCAGATGATACCAGTTTTATAGCCAGTAAACAGATCGTCGTCCATACTCATTCTTTGAAGTTGGGTTTCCTTTTTTTTTTTAAACACCCTCGTACATCGCAATATAGGCCTATTAATAGAGTTTTTCCCCACCAGTTTTGCGTAATGCTTTTAATGTCCCAACTTTATAGGAGTGAAACAGCTGGGAAGCCTGGGAAATATTCTAACCTAAACTACAATATTATAACTGAGTCCAGAATAACAGTAACTCTTGCCCAATACAGATGTCGACATGGTTGTCATTAAATCACCAAAACTAAAGTCAGCTTCAAAACCCAATGCAATCACCCGAGGGGAATATTTTTTTCGCGAGTACCTTCCTTGCAGCAGAGCCTATACAGAAACTAAAAATACGGAGAAAACTCGGTCCTTTTGTACAATTCAGATCCCGAAATGCCCAAGTGACACTTGACACAAAGGGGGATGGTAATTAATGGAAGGCATTGTCGTTCGTTGACCCGTCGAGCGAGGCCAGGTTGACGGTAGTCACGTTTTCGAAAGCGGTGCCATGGTTCAGCTGATCGGCCAGTACTAGTATTGTCATCTCAATAATAGTTGTAAATAGTAAATGAATGGGCACCAATGATAAATACCCTCACGTTCACAAATCAGGCGAGACTTTCTAATCTCAGAGATGTTCAAGCCACGAAGCCTAACCATCTGCCCCTTGCTGGTCAATTTCTGGGGTCGATTCAATACATTTACGGTAATATTTCTCTTCAAGGATTACCAACCCCTAAAGCAAGTCGTGAAGCCAATTGCTGTTTTTGACAAAAAACAAATCCTTCCATGCACTAGACCACTGGTTTGCAAATGAGCTTTAAAGTCCTGTTCGGAGATGGAGGGCTTCATTTGTTTTTGGATTTTTTTATAATTTCGTCGGCGTAAACGGTTCCTGGCCTATCTGCTTGCATGCAGGCTGCAGTCCTGTGAGGCACCCGTCAACATTTGCATTACTGGGCTAGAGATACTGTAATGTAGATCCTCCAAATGCTGAAATTATTTTGCTGGTCCAAGCCTACAGTCCTCTTTGTTCCTATCTTACCATTGATCCTGATCTTTTTGCAGGCAGCCTGGCTTGGGAGAATGGAGAGATTTGGGCGGCCAGAAGAAAGTTCATCCTGCGAGCTTTCCGCACGCTTGGGTTCAGCAAGAGCGGCATCCTGGGCCAGCGGATCCAGGAGGAAGCTGCGGCGCTCTGCCGAAGCATCGACAAATATGGCGGCTCACCCTTTGACCCCCAGCACCTCTTGGAGTGCGCCACCTCCAACCTGTTCTGCGCCATCGCGCTGGGCGACCGCTACGAGTACGAGAGCCCCACCTTACACTCGCTGGTGCGCAACTCCAAGATAGTGCTGGACAACCTCTCGGCGGTCTCAATCGGCAACTGCCTGCCGTTCCTCTACCACACGCCGGTCTGCCGCGAGTACCGGGACGCCGTGACCGGTCTGACAGACTTCATACGGGACTTGGTCGACCAGCACAAGGTGACCTACAACAACTGCAATCGACCCAGGGACGTGGTGGACCTGTACCTGGCTGAGGTCAGCCGGAGACAGGAGGAAGGGGAGGGGCTTAAGTTTGAGGAGGAGGATGTGTGGAGGAGCATGCTTGACATCCTCATTGCTGGGTCGTTCTCAACGGCCACGCATGTCCTGTGGACGCTGCTGTTTATAACTCAGTACAAGAGTGTCCAGCAAAGGGTAGGCCAACACAGTGTTTAGTTTTTATGAAACCTGTCCATTTTGTCTGCAAAGGTGGATATGCAAACCTTGCCAGTTAATTACCAATCCTGGATTAAATGTGTTTAAGTCATTGCTTTGGAGAGAACAACTTTGGTAAAGCATGACTGGCCTGCACCATTCAAAGTGACATACTCCTTACGTGAAGTGTGGATCTTGTCAAGACGTTTCGGACACTCTCGACTTTTCTGTCATTTTCCATTGATATTCAGCAGTCAAATGATAACGGTCCTGATAGCATCTGCAGAGCATATGAGCGCAAGTCGATCAAGGCATGCAGCATCTGTGGTTCTACTCAGAACCACGCATCTCTATTGGCCGTTTTCAGATCATTGGTAGATACAAAGGGGGAAAAACTTGCGTATTTACCCAAATTTAGCCTAACCATAGCGACCTAGCCAATCAAACTTGTGTTGGTTACTTAATACTTTACACGGTTACTTGTAAACCTCTATCGTTTGTTCCTCCGTTTACCTTAGGAAAAGAAAAGTCCTAGTTGCAAGCTTGAACCGAATGGTATCCGGTTCGTTAGTGAGTTCGTCATACACACGTGTACGCAGACATGATTACAAGCGCCCATTGGCTAAACACTCAAATTGGTCGGTGTCGTATGAAAATCCGACTCCCATGAAAACCCGGGACTCCTTTTCCCTATTGGGTAATCCCTCGCACGTGACCAGTCACTCTCCAAATTATCATACTTACGCATGGGCAATGCTACCAACGAGTCCATATTTCATCGAGTCGGATATTCACGCTACGCCGGTTCCAATCGTGCTATGTCACATCGTGTGCAGTACGTATGGTTAAGTTGAGATGACCTCACATGAACGTTCCAGATAGCTCATCTGAACGTTACATTATCATGACTTGCTCTATCATGGGCCCTGATTTTAGGTTGAATGTTGTTATTGTTACTATCCTATTTAAACAGACACTTGAATTTCAGCAAAACTATAATTTTCTCAACGAAGACTTTCTTTAATCCCGCCAGATTCACGACGAAATAGACAGCGCCATCGGCCGCGACAGGCTACCCTCTCTGGATGACAGCCCCTTGCTGCCGTACACGCGGGCCACGCTGTTCGAGATCCAGCGGTGTCGCATCGCCACCGTCAGCGTGCCCCATCTGGCTAGCGAGGACGCCGCTGTGGGTGGTTGCCTCATCCCAAAAGGCGCCCAGGTCCTGGCCAACTTCTGGGCCTTGCACCACGACCCCCGGGAATGGAAAGAGCCCGAACTGTTCGACCCTTGCAGGTTCCTATCAAAAGACGAGTCGGCCGTTATCATGACGGAGAACTTCATGCCGTTTGGCGTTGGTACGTATATTTCAGAACGAAATACATCTCAAATTAAACTAGTAAGTTCCTACATATCTCAGGTTGAGGTAATGTAGTTTTAAGGTCGCTGAGATACCATTTTTGGACCACTTTTAACGGCTAGTTATTTACAGCGGACATCATTCCAATGCTTTTAGTGAACATTGATGCTAGAAAACGCGGCAAAAACAAATAATAAAACAGTACAGTCGGCAGTTTCAACTCGCCAAATCTTTCGTGCATAACTAATTAACTTTGCTAGTACCCACCGCTCAAACAGGACGCTGGGAAGGGCTAATCTCTTTCAAAAAGCACAGGCCCGCAAAGCATTATGGGGAGGTAACTACCTCATCCAATGCATGTTCATTATGTGCAAAAAAGCGTATCATGCGCAGACGGAAAGCATGACCCGTGATATTGTACAAACATGTTTTATCCAATGAGGGCTCGAGGAAATTACGTCATACATCCACAGGAAATTAGCCCTTCCCAGTGCCCTGTTTGGGCGGTGGGTACGTCCGAAAGCATTAACAAGCACTATAGCGCCCTCTGACAGAGCTTTGCTTATTATTATTATTATTATGATTAATTATTTCTGGTAATGAAACCAAGGATTTCAAAAGCGCCCTAGGCACAGGCCCGCAAGCCTGAAGACACCTGTCGAGAGAAGACAATGAGTCTAAGCAATTACAGTTTTAGAGCTGGGAGGAAAACCAAAGGAATCAGGTTAGGACTGAAAACCCGCAATTCACATTGGCCCAGGCGGGATTCGAACCCGGGTCACAGCGGTGGGAGGCGAGGAAAGTACCGCTACGCCAACCTGATTCCCCGAGTAAATAATAATTACGAGTGAATAATAATCTCCAACGTCGATTTCATCCCCTTGTCTGTCATCCACAGGTCCCCGTATGTGCCCCGGAGAGCAGTTCGCTAAGCACCAGGCCTTCCTCATCTTCGCGTCCATCATGCAGCGATACAGGCTGACAATATCCCCGACAGACCCCACGCCAGACCTGGAGGGGGCGGTGTGCGGACCCGCCTTGCACCCAGAAGCCTTCCGGATCTGCGCCCAGCTGCGATGAGTTACGAGATCACAGTGCTTGTAAATACTTCCAGGTGACCTCACAGCCATTGAAATTGTCGATTGATAGCTTTGATGCGGGACAATTTTGGGACCGAAGGTAATCAGAGTGACCTGCGATTTGCTTGCGCGCAGCGACGTAACCGTCGGCATCAAGCAGAAAAGTAATGCACAGGTCACAAAACTAGGAAATCGTGTGGTTCTCGTGGAATCTCGACACAAAATAATCGCAACCATGCCCACCTCACCCTCAACGCAACGACGATTTCATGGCATAGACGCGATCATGTGACGTCTTCAAAGTGACGGTGCGCGTGCTGATAACAATCAAACGATCTTCCACGGCCACGTCTGTTCATTCAAACTTTTGTCGCACGCTGATTGGCTACGTAATTATAATGAAATAAGATGATTCGGATGAGCGCACGACGTCGTAACTTCGCACAGGTCGACTGCGATTGATTCCTGCCTGTCGTTGAAGTTTGTCTGCTCTTTCGACTGTCGATTTTTTTTTTAGCGCCAACTGATGCCGATCGCCTTCATCGTCGCAGTTACGCTCAGGTTGCCAAAAATCGGCGACTGATTAGCCTATGTTCCCGGCGGTCGTATAGTTCTTGAAAGTCAGTCGCCGAATGTTCTGTGTCGTTGCAAGATCAACATCCTTCAGCAAATATTTCTTGAAAGTGTAATCTTGAAAGTGCCCATCTTGTATTTCGTATAACAAAAACTGAAATCTGAAATTGTTCACCATGAGAAGGGTTTTCACATTCGCATTATATTTAGCCAAAGTAGAAAATCTTGTTGGTGTCTTTATAGGAAGGGTTTAGTTTATTCCTTTTTAGATGTAAACTTATAAACTTCTTAAATCAAGATATCTACATGCTTATCAACCGTTGATGGAAAAACGTGTGGAAGCTGGCAAGTTCATATCTTGTCGTGAATTAACGGAATTATTACGAATTTTCTGAAGCTTCTGTAGTGCTCCGGGAAAACTTCTATTGATGTCAGCGTAGATAGGCCTATACGGCCTTATATAATTGTTGTATTCAAATACCTGAAAATAATGCCATCTTGTTGTTATCCTAAGATGTCATCTGTGATTTCAGTGTAAGACACTTTTAAAGATATTTTTACGTTATGTTGTTAATTTGCATAATTATGTATTTGTGCTGCACATGTACTGAGGTATCCATGTATAATAGGTTTATTTGATTTGAATATATCGAACTCGTTTAATCTATTGGGATTTCGTATGCAGTATTTGTTATTCGGTTATGGTAACAACACAAATTGAATTTTTTTTTTACAATTTTCCTTAAAGGTTAAAACCTGGCAGAGATCTATCGGCGTGATTTGTAAATTTTGTAAGTGATACTGTGTATGTTATGTATTGTGTATAATATCGTTAGTCAATACTTCGTAGCGTTCAACTCTCTATTTTTGGTCGGAGGTAGGCCTTATGATATAAACTTTAAAAAGTTAGGGAAACATCTAAATTCTGTCAAATGTGTTTTTTTACACAAAAAGGTTTCTAAATATATTGAAGCTAGTTGTATGTATAAGAATTATGTACAATAAGCGCCACCTTCAAACCCCATTGTAAATAGGTGGCTAACGCATTGGAGGAACAAATAAAAAGAAAACAGATTCTTACGGAGGCCTAATATTTGGGTGACATGATTATTCATGTTTATGTTTTGGGTGGGGTTTCAAAACAAAGTTCACTCGCATACTTCCAGGTGTCGTAGGCAATGTAGACTCCTGCAAAACCCGTTTATTTTATTGACTGTAATTTTAATGTAGAGTTGACCATTTGCAGCTATTCAACTTGTAACCGAACAAATTATTAATAAAAAGTGTAGGCCCAACTTGATAAAAAATAGTAACGACACTAAACTCCCTGTGAAATTATAACTGTGAGCTCATGAATAAAAGTTTTTCCCTCAAAATATTCTATATTCGAGAGTTCCGAGAGCCATAAAATTGGGGGAATTACAGAGATATGGCAATGAACCTCTGGGCCGGACTTGGGGCTTCCAATTCTGAGCATTTTGGATGCAACTGGGCTCGAAAGTGGCGCTACTTTGCGAAGTTGTGGAGGGATCGTTTTCAAGACGGCTACTTCTCCGCCTTGGGAAAAATAGGGGTGGTCTTCTTTGGGTGAGAATTTCTCGAAAAGGCAATGCATGGTCAACCCACCTGAAAAGAAAATGAAAGATGACATGTTGATCAGCATTTTTCTGTGCAGCTCATATATATACCTGGGAGATTTCTGAGTGTTAAAAAAGAATGTTGAAGTATGGGCATTAGCACTGGTGTCTATAAGTATTTTAATACTCGTGTCTATTGTAGTGGCTGCGACCACTTCCCATAGACTCATGTGTAATTGCAATCCGTAGCCAAGTAATTTCGTACGCGACCTTAACGTCTGTTCAGTGTGAGACATCACGTAGCTCCAATCGGCTGAATGAGAATCATGTCCCGAACGCTGATTTCGGGATTGTGCCACGAGAGGGCGCAATTCAAAATATGACATGGCAACTTCTGAACCGAAATAGAGATCCAGAATATTATGTTTTCTCAAAATATACGACCTTTACAGAGATAAAGCTTCAGTGGGTTAGTTTTTATCAATGTCCGTCTGTAGATTTTGAGTACCTTTGTTGCTTCAATAAAAATGCACAAATGACAAATGGTCCATTCTACCTTTTTAAAGTTTCTCCACCCTTGCTCTTCAGCATATACAATGTTTTCTCTTCTAACGAATTTTTAATCTGTATCTTTTATAAAACGGGGGGAAAACCTTATTTGGATGCAGTACGCTTATATTTTGGTTTGCTTCTGCGCCAATAACGCACGAAAGATACGCTTGAATTATTGTCGGACGGATATTTGTTTACGTGATATGTCTCATTTAAAAGCGACTTGCATTTGTATTGCGAGAAAAAAACAACCTCAGTGTATTTTTGGGGGTAAAACTCAAATATAAACGAGGACAGCAACTTTAGAGGCAACAAACAACATTTGCTTTTTCTGTAATTTTCAGGAATGGATGGATTTGGGGGTTAGAATTTTATAGCAAATATTGCTACACTGACCTGTTTAAAGTTTTGTGCTCATAGGTGCTGGAAACACCAAGAAATAAATGCTGTTCGTGTAGTCTGGTTCCCTAACCCTGCTTTGGCAAAACAAAGCAATAGATGTGAGAGAACTGTCAGGCCAGGAATTAACCAGACTAGCTGGCTCGTACCCGTTCATGAATGTTTAACCGATTGCAAACAAAATGTGGCCTAACTAAATTTGGTAAATTGAGGGCAGTATTTGAAAAAAAGTTTTTTGTAACAATACTAAAATTCCACTTTTCTCGAAAACGACAGCACACCAGGTGCCACTGATTTCACAGGATGTTTGAGAGTATTATTCACTTACATTCTAGTAAGGAATTTCATTTTGGTAGCTTTGTTTCTGATGTTAGTTGCGAATGATGTATATATTACCTTTAAAGGGGCCACAAAATAGAATCATGATAAAAATCTAATCTACTGAAACCAGCAACCGTTGTGGTAAAAGTTGTTCCAATACTTTAGTTGCGACAAACAAGGTTGGGTTTAAAATTCATATTTTTTTTATAACACCGATCAGTTTCTATTCAAGGGTAAAAAAAAAACAGCACTTTGGTTTGAATGTCACTTTTTTTTAGTCGGGTTTCAAAGAACACTTGTCAATCATTATTAGATTGTAATGGAGATTTAATGATAAAGTAAGAGCTACTGTATAAATCCCCTCACCTCAACCACTTTGAAAGTTTGAAAGAATAGGACAAGAACACGTGACATCATGTTAGCATGATTTTGTTTTATTTCTTCACTATTATGAAACATTGACAGTTCTAAGATTATGCAGATTTTGAGGAATATTCTGCGACTGGTATTAACCTGAAGGTGATCTCAAAATTGGTGTCAGAAAAAAAATAATCGTAACATTTCTCTAGATAGATGTTTCATATGAATGTGAGCTTTCCACTGTCTATCGATTTATTTAGTCATTTCACACACAAGAAATCAAGTCAAAAGAAAAGGAAAACAAAATGAAGGAAATGAGAAACGATAAAAGGCGAATAATTTGTCCGAAAACGTTTGAGACGCCGTAGCTCAAAAACTGCTGTTACAGACAGGCTCGTGCTTTACAACAATGGAGACCAATTTGTAATGGTAAAGTGATTTCAGATGGTTAGGCGTACTTGGCATAATCAAAATTATTTAAGCAACGACAACAACGACAACAACAACAACAAAAACAAAAGCAAATGACAGGCCTGTGTGATGAAATGAAACTTTCACAGAGACCTCCTTAATTTTTCTTCTGCGTTCGAATGTTTGTCAAGCAGTCATTATTCCAATGGTGAGATAAGTCACTTCTAAGACTTAGCCACGCAGCAGTACGAGTTGACGCCGTCAACGCAGACGAGATTACGTACGCAAGTTGTTAACGCGCACTCGTCAATGTCTAGACACAGAAAAACAAACAAATACAAATGGAAAGCATTAACTAAGCAATAATTAACAATACGGGAAAACGATTCTTTCAACAATAGTAGATAACAAGTTGGAAACAATATTTTCTGTTCAGTTTTATGCCATTTGGTAATCGTTAGTGCGATTAAAATAATGTATATGGGGCCCACAAATTCCCGAGCAATTCCAACGGACAAAAAACATACAAGATAAACAAAAACAAACACTGGCCGCAGCCAAATTGAAAAAGGGGAAAGAGTAACAAAATAAGACCAAGACTGTTCATGTAAGACGGCTAGAATACAATCTGACACCAGGTGGCGCTGTTGGGGGGGGGGTCTCTTAGGACGTCGAAATGACCATTGCTGCTCATCTTGGCGTGTGCGTTTAGTAACCATAGGGATATTGATGTTATTCTTGTTAGTGTCTTTTTGCAGTTGTTGCTGACGTTTTGGTTGATGTTACGATCTTCGGACAGTTTATTGCAGAACAAGATATTTATTACACGTTTATACCTACGGAACACCTGTGAAAATGTTGGGCAAATAATTCGCTGGGCAAAATATAAGCAACACAATGTGAATAGGCAATTTTGCCCAATAGTTGAACGTGTTAAGTATTCGCCCATCGTTGGTCGAATAATCAACCCTTTTGGCCCAACTTTTACTTGTTAGATTACATTAATGCAGAAAATAAAATAAAATAAAAATTTCTTTGAAATTTGGATGAAATTGGGCCCTATATATTTTGGTATATTTTGCAATGGAGCGCATGCATCATTTTCTTTTTTCAAAATGGCGACGGTGATTATCTTTGGATGGAATTTTCTTTCTAAAGTCATTGGTTAGCCCAACCCCCCCCCCCCCCCCCCCCCCACACACACACACACACACACACTCAAAAAAAAACAATGAACAGAAAATGAAAGAAGATGAAATAAGCTTTAATTTGATAGGTGTCTCAACTAAAGTTGGAGAGTTGTATTTCCCCTGAATTTCGGAAGTGGGCGAATTCATCACTAGGGTCTATGCCAGTTTATTTAATAGTCTGCAACAGTAAGTTGTTTGTGGTGACTATGACAATATGGAAAGCGCCACCAGTATCAGATGGTGACTTTGCCCGCACTGAACAGCGACCTCGTGTGCCAGATGACCCATTCTCCTTTGGCGTTCCCGAAGGGTCGTAGGTCGGCAACTGATATCCCCAATTTACAATGCTTCAGAAATCACAAAGGAATCGATTTGCAGGGACTTTATTTTATAAAGAGGTGCACGGTATCGGTAAAGCATAGATAGAAAAAAGCAAACATTAACGGGAAATGTAAGAGTAAACAAACTTACTAATCTGACACTCCTTTCCTTCGTAGCCAGCCACGCAATCGCATCGGTAGTCATTGATCAAATCGGTGCAAGCGCCACCATTTTGGCACGGCTGCGGGTCACATTCATCGATATCTGCAAAAGAGAACAAACAACGCATCATCACGACGTGTTCGGAGTTGGGCAATGTTGTGTTGTTATCCCTCATTTGCAATTCTTCAGGCGTTACAAAGGAATCGATTTTCATGGACGTTCAGTTAAGGAGAATACACTCGCAAGTGTGGATTCGTAATTCTTAAATTAAGAATCCACACTTGCGAGTGTATTCTTCGACTTAAACTATTGCGTCAACAGAAGTATTGGAAAGAATGTTGCAACCCGATGCCACTTTTTTTTCTTCATATATCGTCTCAATGAAGGTTATTCGTTGCAAAAATGATGATAAGACATGAATCTGGGACTGAGAAATGTTTCAAATTTTGTTAGGAAATACTTGAAATGACTCTCCATAGACTTCGAACACAAGCGCAGAAGTGGCGTCAGGTTGCAACATTTGTCCCTGGCGTGTTTAGCAATGCGTATCGCCACACCCGTACAATCAAGTCATTTTGTGTGTAAAGGCTCCTTACGACAAAATGGATAGTTCAGACGACGATTTCTTTCTGACTTAAGTAGTTTTTGCAGAGACGGCGGCGAATGTGACGGTGAAGATGCAACAGTAATTTTCGGAAAGCAAATTTTCACGCAGACGGTCCTATTCAGGATCATTATGGAGAACAATTGTCCGACGTGTTCAAAGTGTGGATTCGTAATTCCGAATCCACACTTTACTTAAGATTCGTAGATCCGAATCCGCACTTCTAACAATAGTGTGACGTCATAGCAATGATTTTAGTGGTACAAACACATGCCCCTCCATTTTGCATTCATTTTTCAAAGAGGACCATGGTAGAGAATTTAGAGGGAAACAACCCGGTACTGTAAGAGTAAGATTTGAGGCTTTGCATGGTGGAGATACTAAATAATGAAAGGTTTGCGGAAACAAACTAGGCTCAAGGAACACAGAGCACATGGACGGCGAGGGGATTTTGACAAATCGGCCATTGTCAAACATTTCCACATCAACGACCACAAAGTTGATTGGGATGCGGCCGAACTCATCGCACCGATCCAGTTCTGGCATCCAAGACGCATACGGGAAGCCATCGAGATCCACAAGCACAACACAGTTCCGCAAGACATCGGGTTTCACCTCAACGACATCTGGCTCCCACTTCTCCAGACTGATGGGTCTCCTATACCCTAGGTCCTCAGCTACCACCTTAGACTGATGGGTCTCCTATACCCTAGGTCCTCCCTCTACTGACACTGCAACCCTACTGTTCCACTTCAGGGGGCACCAAGCTTGCTCTAGGATCCCGTCTACTTGGCATCCTCACAGGATGCAACTTCACACTTCATTGATTTTGCCTTTTGCTACTTAAGTATTCACTTTCTTAGAGTTTAGGCACTCTCCTGAAGACGGTCACAGCATACTGACCGGAACGTCGAGTTTATACCTCTGGTTCTTTTCAGAACCATTCTCTTAGTTGAGAAATTATTCGCACATGGTGTTTCCGCAAACCTTTCATTACTGTAAGAGTAAACAAACGTACTGATCTGGCAGTCCTTTCCTTCGTAGCCAGCCACGCAATCACATCGGTAGTCATTGATCAAATCGGTGCAGACACCACCATTCTGGCATGGCTGCGAGTCACATTCATTGATATCTGCAAAACGGGATAAAACAGAGGAGCATCACAAGAGGGCGCTTCACCATGTCTCCAATTTTTGAATTTAATGTTTTGTGCCATGATATCTTCGGTCAAACTTTGAAATTTTTTTTAAAAACTTTTTGTTAATTTGTTTTTAATAAAGAAGTACATCTTTTTCCAACCTATCGCCCAAAACTACTACTTCTAGGAAGACCAGATGGCGCTGTGACGAATTATGGCGAATATAAAGGCTTTTGTAAGTATTTGGTTTAATCGCATTCTTTTAACCGGATACTTAGTGATATGGTAGAATTGTTACTGATTGTTATCGTTGTAGGCTTATTAAGGACCTCCCAAAAACTCCCCGGTAGTAATTAAATTGGAAACAAATATGGTTCTTGCGTAGCCAGTTTATTCCAATCAATGGACCAATGGAATACAGTCGATCACGCGACCAAGTTGTTAAGTTAAAAGTACTTTTTTTTTTAATTTTCAGGTAGCGGATACACCGCTTAGAAATAATTTATTCATAGAGATATAATTAAAAACTGGTTCAAGGCAACCACAGGAAATCTACAAAGATGCTTTCGGTTAAAAAAACACTGAATCCCTAATAACAGATTCTTAAGAAACATCTATAGATTTTTTTCATCAAATTTAAATTTATTTTAAGATGTTTTAATCCCCGAGTACATGGTGGCACGTTTCAGACTAACAGTTGTGCAGGCCTCTAGCGACTCGTTTATCCTAAAAACAGTTCAGTTAGGGCCCCCAAAGTCTACGGTTTCTGGTATGGAGCTTGCCCCAAAAGTGGTGCGGCGACGCGGGTTTTTCCCCCTTTACTTTTCTTGCCGCATTGCTTCAAATGTCGGCTGATGTTGCAGATGACGCTTCGATCCCCCTAAAAGGGTCGAGCTTGATGTGACCCCAGTGAGGCCAAAGAGCTTGAGAATTCTGCATCCACTTACGATCACGACTGACACGAACATTCTTGGGGAAATTTGGATAGTCAAGACAAAAATCAGAGAAAATGGTGACGTCAGAGCAACATCGACATCGTGCAAGAGCTGCCAGGCTAGCCATTAGTCTGCTCCCTTACAAATTGCGCTACATAAAAAGCGTTTACAGGCTCCAGATACACGACCATAGCTCCTCAGTCTGGCTTCCAGACGCACAATTACAACACCGTCTGCAAATGGTGCCCGACTAAATTGAGAGCAAAATAAATGGGGCCACATAAAGCTTATACTCGATCTTAACCCCATCTAAAAACACGTTCAAATTGTGCAGCAGCAAGATTCCAGTCAAACCAGTGTGTATGGCGGTTTTGAGACATCATTTTACATAAAAAAAAAACCTTTTAATTTTGCCGACGAGCATGCTCGGCTACGACAACGCGCGCACAAACCAGAACCGGAGACTTTTTTTTTTGCCTAAGGAATCGGCATCAGAGGTATACTTACTGATCTGACACTCCTTTCCTTCGTAGCCAGCCACGCAATCACATCGGTAGTCATTGATCAAATCGGTGCACGCACCACCGTTCTGGCATGGCTTCAGTTGTTCACATTCATTGATATCTGATTATCAATAACAAAAAATCAGGCCGAGTGATTTTTCGAGATCCTTCTTGATTCATTTCCCCCAAATTTGGCATACAAAATGAAACATGAACACTGAAAAAAATGTGTCCTTTTTAATCAATGATTTCTTTCTTATCCATGGCATGAAGTTATCATCATAATTGTATTTTGTTGTAAAAAACAACAACAAATATGTACAGGAAATAAAAGAATTGACGTTGCCATGATTTTACCCATACATGTGGAAAATCAAAGGCAGATATATCTTTCGGGAAACCGGGGGTGGGGATTGATGTTAAGGGGAGGTGGGGGGGGGGGTGAGTCTAAGGTATGACGAAGGCACACCTGTTTGTGTGGGTGGGTAGGCATTACATTCACTGTGTGGACTTCCGAACAAAAGAGGTCCAGATAAACCAGGTATAGAGGCGACGTTGTGTGGACTTGGGCAAGTCCACACAGTGTTTCCCCATTTCTGGAAAACAGGTTTAGAGGCATTTTGGGGTTTAGGTTTATCTGTGACAAAATGAAGAGAAACACTAAAGGGGATCATAGAAAAAAAATGGGTTAAAAGAGTTTTCACAGTGTGAGAAAAATGATTTTTTTTTCACTGGTTTTTCTTAACTACACGAAACCAAGGGAATGTCCACACTTGGTATGTAACGTAAACATGCGTGCGTGGGTGTGTGTGTGTGTGTGGGGGGGGGGGGGGGGGAGTCCGGGGGCATGCCCCGGAAATTGTAAAATCTACAATGCTTTCTCCTCAGCATTCATAAGGCATTTCGAGAACAAATTTAGGATTTTTAGCATTTCATGTATTATTTGTTTTGTCCCATTTTACGCCTATCATAACACGAGGCAGTCAGCGGGGGTGGGGTGGGGTGCATCTTCACCCCCCCCCCCCATCCGCATCACAAAAAAAATAACACTATCCTGAATCAACACTTTTAAGAAAAGTTTCGTCTAAAAAGTGACCCTAACATTGCTATTAATGGGCTGAAATAGTGATTAATACACTCAGCACGTACTGTAGAGATCAGCAAAACTGAGGAACCAAGCAAGCAAAATCACGAGGGGGCGGGCTACAGCCCCCCTCAGGCCCCACGCCCTAGGGGTGCAACCCTGCAACAAATATCCCGTAACTAGTGCTAAAATGCGCATACTTCAAAATTCTTTTAAAAATACTCAGAACTCTCACAGGTATTCAAGCTGCACAGAAAAATGATGATCAATGTGTCATCTTTCATTTTCTTTTCATTTTTGGGTGGGTTGACCATTGACTTTTCGAGATATTCTCACCCAAAGAAGACGACCCCTATTTTCCCCAAAGCGGAAAAGTAGCCATCTTGAAAAACGATCCCTCCACAACATGGCAAAATAGCGCCACTTTCGAGCCCAATAGCATCCAAAATGCTCAGAATTGGAAGCCCCAAGTCCGGGCCAGAGGTTCACTACCATATCTCTTCAATTCCCCAATCTTATGGCTCTCAAAACTCTCTAATATAGAATATTTTGAGGGTATAACTTTTATTCATGAGCTCGGTGGACGGATTTTTGGCCTATTTACAGGTGTGCACCCCTAGACCCGAAAATGTCATGTGACGTGAGTGTTTCGGAGCTCAAGCGCAAGACATTATTTGCAGGTGGTCTACTTACTGATCTCGCAGTCATTTCCCTCGAAGCCATCGGGACACACACAACTGTAGTCTTTGTACAAATCGTTGCAGGTAGCCCCATTCTGACACGGCTGGGAAGCGCAGTCGTCAACGTCTGAAAAAGAATTATTGAAACATGTCCAATGCACGAAACTCAATCAATCACGATAGCTTGTATAGCCTTTTTTGATTGTATCTTTGTTTTTAAATAAACTACAAAAATGCATTAACTGTGATTGTGACCGATTGATACCCACTAGGTTTATATGATCCTTTGCTTTTCATGCATGTTGTTTGTTTCGAATAATTACACCCTTCAGAATCGTTGAAACATTGATGAAACGTTATAACGGGAAAGAAATGGGAATTAGTTAATGCACACATTTCCTCAAAGGTTAAAAAGTCGAGAATGCTTGTTAACAGTAAGCACGTTAGCACATCCATAGAAGATTCATGTTTTGCAATGATCGGCCAGTATCCGCTCCGTTCACAAGTACACCCTCACCGGCAAACAAAGTACAGTTGGGAGGGGGGGGGGGTGACCGACCGACGCCATCTTGCCTGACTGCAATTTTGCCGCGACGCGCGGCCGTACCACTGCGTGTACATATAGTACAAATCCCCTGGTGTACGTGCGTCTCACACAAGGAACGGTGCGCGTCAACCAGCTAAATGTCCCGCCCATGGGACGTCGTTCTAGGTAAAAGAGCGCCCTCTTTGTTGGCGCACGGAGCTCATTGAGTCATCATCTAGTGAATCAACCATTTATTCAATGTATTGTGTTAGACGTTGTCAGGTTGGACGTTGTTATAACGCCTCTGGGTGAAGATGAACGTTCCATGCCTCTCATTATAAGACGCACACACACTGGGCAGCAGCCCTTTGAAGTGTTTGCTAAACGTTTACACGGTGCCTGAAAGTTCTACTATAAGTTAAACTGAGCTTCCCACCTTCACTGTCCCTCTTTCTTCGCCGCTTTGAAATTTGGGGAGAAGCAGAAATCTTTAAATTCCAATTGGAATACCCCTTCAGAAATGATTGTCCCGTAGTAATTGGACCCATGTTATGCAACTGTTGCTGTTACGCGTAAGTGTTTTTTTTATTATTATTATTATTTATTTTTTACTGTCCTTACTTTCAGCAGTTTTCTTGCACACGTAGCCGTATATTTGGCCGCACCAAACGTCTGACCACTGCGAGCCGAAGAATGTGGGATCGATGTGCGCACAGTCCTCGTTGCCAGCGTTGTCGGGTATCCGCGGACTCCAGTTGATGAAGTCCAGCTGGGAAACAAAGGGGAAAAAGGATTCTCGAGGCTCGAATATCGAGGATCAAATATAGACACCACAATAATAGCTAAAAAGGACGTACCTCTATTAGCCTTACTGAGTGTATGGCGGACGTGAAAGACAGACACTTTTTGTAGTGGGTTAACTTCCCTTTCTTTACCAAAATGTTCCACAAGAATGTTTAGAATGTGTTTTGCTGTAAATCAAATTTCAATTACGAACTAAAATCAGCTGTTTGAGGCTTTGATTTTGGAACATGAATAATAATGATGCATTTGTCTCAAAATTTAGCCCAACTTTCTTCTATAGGCCTACAGTAACGTTTCTCCTCTTAAACGAGTTAAAACGTTAACGAACGTTTGCAAAAAGCGTTTATAACGATTTAAAAACTCGCTTTTAGACATGTAGTGTATGAGACAAGTTTACTGTAGCGTCGTTTGACCTACCTGCGTTCCGTCGCTCCACTTAAACACCCCTTCCACCTCTTTATCGGTAAGACCAATCCAAAAACGGCCTCTACTGTAGCCCATGTGATCTGTTCACACAAACAAATCCTTGGTGTTATTCAACAGTACTTACAAGCAATAACAGTCGAAATTATAACAGTGGTTCTGAAACTGATGATAATCAACCAAACTCTGTAGGTTTTTCGTTTTTTTTTTTTTACGAGCAGTTTGATACAATGGGCTCGAAAGTGGCGCTATTTTGCCATGTTGCGGAGAATTAGTTTTACAGAATGGCTACTTTTCCGCTTTGGAAAAGGGAAAAATAGGGCTCGTTTTCTTTTTGAGAATTTCTCGCACAAAAAAATGAAAAGAAAATGAAACATGGCAAGTTGATCAACATTTTTTAGTGCAGCTTAAATACCTGTGACAGCTCTGAGTATTTTTACAAGCATTTTGAAGTATGGGCATTTAGCACTGATGTTTATGGGAATTTTAATACAGGGTACTATAGTTATCACATTTTTGCCATTCGTCTATAATTTCGATAAGCCTTAAAATATCAAGCGATTTATTATGCTTTCCCCTCAAAACGATGGTTGTAGTTTCTTACCGAAAATGAAGTTGCTTTCCTCCTTGCTGTGGATGCTGACGAGGCTTGCCCCGTCCGACTGGCATCTTCCTAGGGCGCCCTCCCACGTTTGCCGATCGCCGAAGTACTCATATTCATCCGAGAAGCGATAGCAGAAGTCTCCATAGTTGTTCCAGCCCGACTTGCAATGGTGGTCTGCGCATTGACACCGGAATGGGAAAAAATCACTTCGCTTACCCTGGATTGGACATTTGGGAGACATCCCCATAGACTTGTGCACAAATTTTTCAAACTTAAATGTGCCCTAACCCAATATTCCCTTGTCCTTTTTCCACGGGGGGCAGCTCGGGTGTCAAAGTCCAAGATTTGTTCACAGGGTGGGGGAAATGAGGGGATGCAGTCTACGCTTACAAAGCCCACCACCAAAGGACATGAGGGCATTGAATGAAGATTAGCACTTGAATACTGAATAAAGACGTTAATCACAGATCTTAAGGAAATGTTGTCCCCCCATTATTTAAATAAGTAACATTGGTCAGTCGAAGGGAGGCGGGTGGTCATCCCCTCGACCTTTTCCCTTGATCAATCCTTGAAAGTGGTATGTACGAGAGAAAGGGACCCCCCAAAATAAAAATATAGTACACCAAATAATTTGTTATGCACAATTAAGTGTTAATTTAAAATATTCTTTCGAATTCATTTAATATGGCTCGCATTTCTTGGCACAAAAAGTCACTGTCGTGATCATCCTTCCTGTGCTATACAATAAAAAGAAATGGTTTATTTTAGAGAAACAATGGCATTGTAAAACATCACATTTAGGGCAGAGTCACACAAGGTAACTTTTAAAGGCATGAGAAGAACAAAACACAGGACCCAATCCATGGCGCTGCTTGGCACAATAACTTGGTTTGCTAGACAATCCCAGTAATCACAGCGAAAGGCACGCTTACCGCAGAAGACAAAGTTGCTTAAATTTGTGACGTATACTTACAATAGAAATTTCCACACGCGCGCAATCGAAATAGTGCTTTAGGTTAGCTCATTTTTGTAAAACAGTAAGCACACATTTTCTTTTAACTGTTAGGCAGGGCTACGAATTTGGAGCCCGGTGTTTAATTATTGTTCAAGGATTTTCTCAAGAACATAACAGAGAATAAAAGCTTTCATGCCGTATTTTTTTCTCCTTGTGGATTCTCTGTAAATTGCCTCGTGTGACATGGCCTTTCGGCATTCAACTGGGTAGGCCTATTTGATAGCAAACTGTTGCAAACAATTAACACAAAACAATTTCCCCTCCCCCCTCAAAAAAAAAACCGTTATAAGCTTAGATCTGGGGCTTTACCTTCTTGGCAGTTTTTGCCAGTGTAACCTGCCTTGCAGTTACACTGGTAACCACCGGTCCCATCGCTTTGACAGACTCCGCCGTTAAGACACGGTTTGTCATCGCAGCTCGAGGCTGTGGAAAGTACATGTACCACAAAACAGTAAAGATAAATAAAAACCACACACAAACCGAAACCCGAGCCAATGCCGATATTTTAGGGGAACCCGACTAGTCCGTTCCTAATTATGCAAATGATCCAGTACCAGGGGAGTGAGCTGCTGGTGGTAACGTGGTGTGTTTGGACTGTATGGGGACGAGGTTTGAATATAGTACGTGTAATTCAAAGCTTCATGGCACGTTGACATACGTGTGATCCTCTTTTTGCAGATGTACCGGTAGTTACGAAAGCACCAGACATCATTCCAGTTGCCTCCGGGTCCGTAGAAGTCGGGGTCCATGTAGGCACAGTCCTCGTAGCCGTAGTTGTCTGGCAGCCCGGGACCCCAGTTGGTGTAGTCACTCTAAAACACAAACAAAAAAAGGAAAGTGAAACATTTTTTTCGAACAAACCTTAATTAAAGGACGAAAGGGGGAGGAGGAGGGGGGGGGGGCGAAGGAAGAGAGAAAACTCGCCTAACAACCCAGAAACAACAAACACATACACACCCTAGCACGTTTGTTTATGGTGTAAATCGAGGATTTTCTTTTGTTTCTCATCCCTTTTCCTTTGTTTGTACTTTAACTTTTTCGCAACAGCTCTCATTTGTTTTGTACAGGTTTTCTAGTCGAGGTCGTCCTTGATTTGGTTCTTGTCCTCGATTCATCGATGATGTTGCACGTGTGTGTCCTCGATTTACACCATAAACAAACGCTAGTGCGTTTTTGCCTGCAATCGCGGACACCCTATTGTCCCTCTTTTGTTTGTAACTGTTTAGGAAGACCTCCCATATGTTTTGTACACATCGCCGAATGGGGGACCCTTCGGGAATTGGGGACCCTATTGTCCTCTATTGTTCAACATCCGCTATTGAATGCGGGCTCCGTTGTTCAACGGAGCCTGCAAGCTCCACAACGTTTGATATTAGTGAATATGCAATATGGAATAGCCATCTATTATGAGTGGATTCGGCGATTAATTATGCAAAACAACACTGCGTCTTGATCTCCAGATTCTGACTATTTTACGGCCGCCCTCTATCGGGTCTCGGTAACCGGTTGTTGTATTTACAAAATTTTTCAGAAAATGGACCAATCAGCAGCTATTATTTTTTTGCACAAAATGACGTCACAATTTCTAGTCGAATTTTAGAGTATCATCCGCGAACAACGGACTACGCGCGCGCCAGCCAATCGCAGTCGACTTTAGAAAGTGTGACGTCATTTCGAGCAGAAACTCTGCCTCAGTTAAAAGGTCAATTTGGCTGCCGTGGTTTTTTTTTTAAAATACAACAACGGGTAATCGATGACCCGATAAAAGGCGCCCGCTGAATGGTCAAGGTGGTGGAGTTGGAAGGGAAGAAAGAACGGCCGGAAGGCTGTTGATGATATGAACAACTGTTGTGGGGGATGGGAAAAGGGGAGAGGATGGAACCTCATTCGACGTAGAGGGCGTTGTTTTCCCTTTTGGATGTCTTTCTTTTAATATTTAACGAATCCTAAAATGGAAAGGGAACGGGTAGTTAAACAACATTATCGACTTGCAGACATTGATCTTAAATCCTTCAATACAAAAAATCGGCATGTAGTTTGAGAGCCATGGATCTCGCTGCACACACCTCCCTCCGGTGTTGAGGTACTCGTACTCGAGTACTATTCGAGTCCTTTTTAATGAGTACGAGTACTTGTACTCGTATGTCAGTTATCGTACTCGAAATGACGATACTCGTACTCGGGCAGCAAAGCACTTGTACTCGAAATGTCGAAATTGTACTCGATCATCAAAGTACCCGTATTCGAATAGCAGTACTCGAGAAAAAAGGCTATAGCTTGACTTAACCACGGCCTTACTGATACTTTCAGTTTGAAATTGTTGATCGGCTTGCGGAGACTCAAAGTTTCCTGATTTCCCTCTGTGCACAGCCGCACAAACACATTCAACAGCTAGCCGTGAGTGGGTCTGTATATCGGTCGGACTGGGCCTAGGCCAATTACAAACAATGAACCATTTGTTATGTACTGGAAATAAGAAATACTCGTACTCGTACTCGTACTCGGAATACAAGTACTCGTACTCGGTAACCTAAGTACTCAGCAGTACTTGGTACTCGGAAAAAAGTGCTCGACTACAACACTGCCTCCCTCCTTTGTATTTATATTTGAGGTATTATTAAGCAAAAGTAAAATGACATATCACCTTGGTTCCGTCAGTCCAGACATAATCACCCTCAGTATCGAAGTCGCTGTATCCCAACCAGTACGTATGACCTACCCGTCGGTTGTCTGGAGTTAAAAACAAAATCACCCTTGAGAGTTGAAGATTTTTACGTATTAGTTTATGGCGTGTGAATTACATGTGTGTGTGTGTTCTTGTGTTTAGATTGCAATGAGTTTGTGTCTGCATTCAATAGGGGACGTTGAACAATAGAGGACAATTGGGTCCCCAATTCTCGAAGGTCCCCAATTTGGCGACCGTGTACAAAACATACAAACAGTACAAACAGAAAAGGGACAATAGGGGGTCCCCGATTGCAGGCAAATTGACAATTGGGTGCGTTAACTACCTACGTATACAGGGCTTTTGAATGCATCCCAATGCCAGATTCACCGCTAGTTAAAGCTATAGTCCATCATTTGCAGCAATCCGAAAAGTAATTGGCGTAATTTTTGTTGAAAAACATACTTGGTTGAAAGATAGTAAGTGGACTAAACTCCCTGTGAAATTATTCTTTCTGGCAAGCTGTCATTTTGAAGTAATCAACGAAAGAAGGCCTTTCCAATGGTGCGTCTTAAGACGCACCATAGGAAAATTTAAATTAGTAGTTCGTTTTGTTATTCGGCGAAGCGCGAGCAAGCATTGGTAGACGCACACGCGCGCACGGCTGCTATAATTCGTCGGATCAGTGCGCTACATCGCGTAGCTGCAATCGGCTCAGTGAGAACGTGCCTCGGACGCTGAATTCAGGCCCAATTCAAAACATGATTCAGCAACTTTTGAATTGAAATTGAGATCCTAGAATGCTGTTTTTCTCGGAATTTACAGCTGAGGCTGAGCTGAAACTTCATCAGGTTTGTTGTTCAGTATCCTTCATTAGATTTTAAACACTTTTGTTGCTTCAAACGAACAAAATGCACAAATTACAAATGATGGACTATAGCTTTAACCGGACCCCATTTTTGAAGTCCAAAAGACAAAGGGGTCAGAGAACCAGACTAGAGCTATCTTGGACACTATCGGACAATAGCTGGCGCTATTCGTAACGGCAATTTTGCAAACAGACACACAATAAGCCATTTGCGAGTTAAACGCTGACTTAATCCAATGCTTTGCATATTTTAACTTTGCATTCTCCCAACCAAAGAGACTGTTACTACATAAGGGCAAGCCTTATGCTAGCAACGCCCAGCTCTGGCATGGTCTGGTGTCTTTGTGCCATTCTCACCCATTGTGAGCGATGTATTGATGCTGAGCGTCTCTTACGTAACTATGCAAGAGCTTGCCCCGAATCATGTGATTAGCAACAGTGTCTTTGGTCTGGAGAATTCAAAGTTAAAATGTGCCAAGCATTCTGTGCAAATCAGTGTACCAGATGTTATTGAAATGTAAATCCCAAAGGGTATAGGTTACTCGCAAATGGCTTATTTCGCGGGCAGGAGGACTGCAGTGACTCGTCAGAAATATAATACAGTTATGTAATCCCTTAAGAATGGAAGTGAGTCTATAGCCATAATAAAGAAAAGGCAATACGTACTATATAGGAACATTTGCTCTTGTGAACTGTGTACGCTGGCCAAGTCGCCACCTTTGGCCTTGCATTTCAATCTGGCCGCCATAAACGTTTCCATATCGGTGCTGTAAAAGTAGCAGTTCCCGTCCAGGCGAAGCCATCCTTGGTCGCAAGCTAAATTCAGCAAAGACAACATTTAACAAAATTAGTAACCATTTTTAGTTAATGAAAAAATATTAAACTCAAGGGCCGTATTTTTACCTATAGAGGGCGCTGTTGAGATGGATTTTTGCCTTAACCTTTCAATGAGGATATGCTTAAAATAAAGCATTTTAAATGCCACGCCGGGGTAAATGGTTTCTTTCGTAGTAGGCAAATGAATTTTATACACTGCATAAAAATTCGAAAGGAGACTTGCAAGCGACTAGTTTTGCTTGCGTTGTGTGGTTAAAAAAGGGCCTCCCAAAAAAACTTAAATAAAAATACGTAGAAGGCCTTACCACCTGCAAGAATATCCTCGGCCGAAGCACCCACAATGATACCTGAAATAGAATTCATGACAGCGGTCAATTAATTTCTGGATAAGTGCGATTGATAGGTTTTCAAAAAGCCATTTGCGAGTGACCTATACCCTTTGGGATTTACATTTGAAAAACATCTGGTACACTGACTTGCTCAGAATGCTTGGAACATTTGAACTTTGAATTCTCCAGACCAAAGACACTGTTGATTATCACATGATTCGGGACAAGCTCTTGCATAGTAACGTAAGAGACGTTCAGCACCAATACATTGTTCACAATGGGAGAGGATGGCACAAAGACACCAGACCATACCGGAGCTGGCGGTTGCTAGCATAAGGCTTGCCCCGAATCACGTGATATAGTAACAGTCTCTTTGGTCGGGAGAATGCAAAGTTAAAACGTGCAAAGCATTGGATTAAGTCAGCGTTCCAGATTTTATTCAAATGTAACTCGCAAATGGCTTATTCCAGACATCCCATGGTAGAAAGCTGCATACCATGCTTACTCCAGGTGAGTCGTACTGTGTCCCATGCCCTTAAACTGCCTTTCAGTACGTGCGTTACCGGATCTTTGCATCTGTTTGACCAATAGTTCGGTCTGTATTGGGTGAAACGCCAGTAAATATGCCTGAAATTGGCTACGCCGACCAAATCACGATTTTCATGCCTTCAAATTCTCCGGTATTAGAGCATTTTGTGGGCCATGAACTTGAGGGTTTGTAAAAAGGAATGATGGAAGCCGTGCACAGGACTGGGAGGTCATCTATTATGTTAGTTTTTTTTTTTAACACAGCCGGTTAAATTGAGTAAAATAGCATTGCCAATGTCAGAGAAAGAAAAAAACAAAAACGTTTACAGCAATGAAAACAGTCCCAAAATATTACATAAGTAAAGACAATCGCTTGCACGCAATGGTCCCCTGATTTAAAAAAAGAAAGAAACAAAGATGTCAGCGGAAATGTGGTCAGTCTTAACAGAGGCTGTCCGCGATGGAACTAGCCTTGGTGCAGGCGTTTGTTTTTTAGTGTCCGTGGTGGTATCTGGCCACTAAAAACAACACCTCGCTGCAAACTGATTTCCACATTGTAGACGCAAGATTTTCTGGTATTTTTTTTTTTAGCCTAACATCTTTAAAAAGGAACCCGTCAGTTTCGCAAAAAAATAAATAATATAAAATAAAAATAAAAAATCTTACATGTCCAGACAGTTTATCCCCACTCAGGCTGATCATCGTTTTTTCTTTAAGTCTAAAACTCCTTTCCCCAGAGAGCTGGGAAATCCGTCCCACCTTCTCCGATATCAACGGCACTCACGCATTCCTTTTTTTTTTAATTCTTGGTGACGTTTAAAAAAGTCAGTCTTAATACAAGGCATATACTTCTTGATAACCGGTTTTTATAAAATTCTTATTTACCCCTCCCATCAAAAATCAAATTTCGAGCAGAGGCTGGCTTTTTTTTAGGTTAAATCATAATGATAATGTAATAACAATGTCGCGCTTGTAGCGCTTTATACCCAAGGTTTCAAAGCGCTTTACGATTAATTTTTCAATCTTGTACCGTCTCAGTCGGTGACTGCTCTATGTTCCGACACCCCATGTTCCGACACCACTATGTTCCGACAACCCGCTCATACTTCCGTTTAGGGTTATTTGCGTTAGGGTTAAGGTTAGGGTTAGAATTAGGAATAGGAATATGTGCAGTCGGAACATAGCGGTGTCGGAACATAGGGGTGTCAGAACAGACATGTAACCATTTCAGTACCACTATAAGAGGTGGTTGATTCAAATGCTGGCTTCGTAGACCTAGGTCTATATTTCTGCTAGTCCCAGATGAAAAAATAGACCTCTTTCTTCGTACTTATCACACTGACTGACTCCCCGACTGACTGACTGACTCACTCACTGTCACATAGTACTTAGCCTGGTTGATGGCTGGTGAACAGAATAGAGCAGTAATTTAGCATTGTCCCTAAATGGGCTCAATCCAGTCCATTGTGTGCACCAGATGCATACAAAGACTTCCAGTGAATAGCCACTCTGAATCAATATAAATATTTCTTTTTGGTGGGCTATGAGACCAGCTTCATGGCCGTGTCGTGTTGTGTACGTGTAGTTTCCTGCACTAATAAGCCAAATCGGTATTCCAACTGCGCATGTGCACAACCAAGTATGACGCGTTGTCACTTCGGGTGAACGCCGCTGATCTGCACACAAGTCAATTGGGGAACGTGTTATTCGAATGATGCATTCTGCGATGGACACTTTATTCGCACAAACTTGGGATATAGGCTACAAAACACCTTTAAAAAAACACTTCCCTGTTCAGACATTTGAAATGCTGTGCTCACTATTAACGAGACAATTTCTTAAATTTTGCTGGTACCCGGTATGATTTTGCATGCTATTAAAACGGCGCATTGTTCAATATACTAAACGGAAAATCGACATGATGTGCACATGCGCAGTTGGAATACCAAACTTGCTGATTATACTTCACTTACCGAGAAGCAGAGCTCCGAAGAGCGCACCGAGAGCAGATCTACACCTTTGCATGTTGAAACTCGTCAACGATCTGGCCGTGCTCTCTCCTTTCCAACCCTGCATTTATTGGATTCTAGAGGCAACTTATCGCCATTGCTATCTGGAATAGTGGGCTAATTTTTGCCTGCGTATTTTCTGAAGTCTTTGCCAAACATTAACCACATTAGATAACTGATGGCGTGTTTACAGTGGCGTTGTTTGCTTCCTGGTGGCAGGTGGTTGATTGAGGTTATCTTTCCACAGAGCTGCTCATTAGGCTCAAGTAATAAGGTTAAAAGCCTCTATAATTGTGTTTTGGCATTCTTGGATAGCGTGCAAGAACAGAAACATGCAAATACATGCACATTTCCTCGCCATCTCCTCAACGCTACTGTTTGGTAGACTTGTCTCTATTTGGTAAACTTGGTACCAGACCGGATTTTGTTGTATTTAGCGAATATTGCAGCAGGTCCAAGTACCTGGCATGCTCGGCCAAGCTGCCGCAGCGGTAGAAGGTGCTTTCATCAAAATGCAGGCCCGGATTACCCAATAGGCACAGAAGGCACTGTGCCTAGGGCCTACGAAAAAATTCGGGGCCTACGAAAATACTGCAGCGTGCCATAAAACACATATAGGCCTATAATAATACCCACACCACAACCACGCGCACAGAAAAGTGTTTACAAAGTTCTAGGGAGTCTCTGAGAATTTTCGATTTCACCAACTGACGCTGTACAGCATGTAGACATACATGCAGGCCCTACGTATACAATTTACACGTAAAGGTTGTCGTTCTGAAGCATGGTGCCAACCATTGGCGTCGATCGGCGGGGGGCGGGGGGGGGGACAAGTTGTTCCCCCAACTGTTTTCGTCCCTGAATATATAATTGTGGTCATGAGACAATTAACATTTTCCATGCTTTTTGAGATAACTGAGGGCCAGGCGCTGTTGGAGTGATGTCATTTCAGGAAGACATTGTTCAGTTCGAATTTCGAACCCAAAAGTTTGTTCATTGAAACAGGTGTGAGAAATGTTTGCTCATTAGCTAATACTGCCATGTACTGACACCGCAACGAATCGCTAGAGAAAAGAAAATCTTTAACAAAAAAAGGATCCAACATTCTGGCAACTTTTGGTGCAGAAATATCTGTAACATTGACCTTTCTGCCTGAAATGACGTCACAATTTTGCCATGAATATGGAAATTCACATCAGCATAAAAACCAAACAGGCACAAAAAAAACCCTTGAAAGCGGCAAAATGAAAATTGACAATGAGAGCTAAAATGAGACACAAAGTTGCATTTGCACGGATTGCATTAAGAAAATTACACTACATAGGCCTATGCCCTTTCAAATGAGGTCCAAACAACAACGCCCTAAAGGCATTAAGAAATTGCGTGGCCTCAGAAAGTGGCAACCTACCCGTAAAAAGACGTCCGATATGATGTAATGTATAGATGCATACCATGGACGTTTGCACGACATATATCTCGCCGTGACACAGATTCCGTGACCCTTTCACCTTTTAGGCTTTGCACTAGACCGGAATCCGTGGACAACGGGTGATACTCGGACTATTGACCTGTCTGCAACTTTATCGATACTGTAATAAACCAACATTGCCATGTGGCAAATCGGCAAAACTGATAAACGAGGACATTAAGATCACGATATCACGCAACCGTTACAGTGTGCTCACGCAGGTTTGCCGACGAGTGCATCTGTTCCTTCTCTTGCGTGGTTCACACATACAAGTTGGCGAATGCAGGTTCTAATGCGAGCGATTCCCGAAGTAGACATGCTGACGATGGTAACGCAAATATTGCCTTGTAAGCAGTTCAGATCGAGTTTGAAAAAGTCGACATCCAGCTCTGGAGACAAGGCCAGACGACATTCAAGCGGCAAAATAGCAAGGCAACAGAAGCTTTATTGACCCTTTGAAATATCTTGTTTAGGACACACGGAATTTAAAGGGAAAATACAACATTTGCAAACATCAAAAAAAAAAAAATACCAAATCATTTTGAAATACCTTGCTGGACTGTTAGTGAATGACAGTGTAAAGCATCCTGTAAAATCATGGCACCTGGTATACTGTCATTTTCAAGAAAAGTGGTATTTTTGTAACAATTTCCAACGCTGGTCGGCCGACCAGCGTTGGAAAAAAACTGGGTTTTTTTGGCAAATACTGGCCCCAATTGACCATCGCACTTGTTTGCAATCGATTACACACCTATGAACGGGTACAACCCAGCTAGACTGGTTCCCTGACCTTACAATTCCCCAATGTATGTAAACTGCTCTGTTTCTTCTGATATGGAGTCACGGAACAAGACTACAGGAAAATGATTGTCTTTCTTGCTTTTTATAGCATTTTCGAACCCAAAACCTCCAAAAAGTCAGTGTAACTATATTTGCTATATATTTCCAACCCCCCAATTCCATCCATTTCTGAAAATTACAGCAAAAGCAAATGATGTATATTCCCTTTAAGTTGGAAACCGATTTGTGACTATTGCTATTTTTTTTAAATTTCAGATCAAACTAGATT